ATGGGTAACCAGCCTAGCCGCTTACGGAACTCAGAGATATGGTCGTACTTTCTTAGACCGAATATAAATCGGATACAGAAATTTTGGAGACGATCCACTTTATTTAGCAACTCCTCGTTTAGACCGGAAGAGCAAGAATCGGCGTAGTCCAGTAATGGCAGGAGGAGACATTTAGCCAGTGAGGTTTTAGTACTCGAGGGAAGAAAATTACTAAGACGTCGAAGGATACTGGAGGCACCGTACAATTTGCGGCTAACTTCTTCTTCAGGATAAATTTTGATTTATTAAAACGCCCAAATTTTTTCTTTCTGTTATCTATTATTTTTGTGTGTTTCGTTAGTAAAACTGTACGTCAGTCTTTATAATATATGAAGTCACACCATTTTTGTTCAAGGAATATCTCTGTGACAGAGGGAGCTAAGTGTTCAGAATATTAACTGCAATATACATGCGCCGTGTCGTGACGCTTTAGTCGACTTCCATAATAGTCTAATATTATCGTAACAAATTATCCTTTAATACAAATAATTATCTATGTAATAAATTTGGTCCTACGTGAAATCTCCTCAAGGAGATAGTGCCCCCTCACTACCAGGACTAGGTATTTAAATCAGAATTAATTTTTTACCAATTTTATATATATGGATAGCTCCACTTTTAAAGAAAATGTCACTTTATATCTACTTCGTCGCCAGGTAATAAATGAAACAAAAGTAATATCCCTTTCCAATTCATATATTATAATGAGATGTATTATAAGATGTAACATATTATACCTATTTTTAGAAACGTCAGTCGTCAATAAATTATTGATACAAACCGATAAAATAGTCATAATGAAACGTGAAGGTAATAGGGCATTAAAGACTAATTACTGATCTAAGGTTGGCATTGAACCACTTAACTCGTGGATCATAGTTAACCTGATTATTGTCAATATACCTAGTTATCATTTCTGTAGCCTCAATTAATTATATTTGGTGGGGAGGTGGATTTTGAAAACGTGGGTAGCTTTTATAATTAAATCAGCACGTTGCGTATTTATACATATTAGTCTTTCTCGATAGAATATCCAACACAATAATCTTTAAATTCACACTATAAAATCGATTTTTGTTTAGTTTTTTTGTAATTTTAATTTTTTTTGATTAGTAAGTGTTTTTTTTGTAATGTTTGTTTTGATTAATATATAAAATATCTATGATCTCTACATGTATGTCATGTTTGCCTTTAAGTGCTTGTCACATTAAAAATTGTATTTTGTGTTGTTACCAACGTATCAGTGTGCCGAGCGTTGGCAAGCTTGTTTTTCTAACGTGTCACCAACCCAAGTGGTAAATATATTTTAAGACATAAAAAAATCTCTCCACAAATCTAATTCTTTTTTTGCATCCGGGGCATAAAGGTGTAATGTGTCAGTATATAAGGCTTAGGCATAGTTTATTTATATCCTCGCAACTAGGTATTTCTACCTAATACCTGACCCGTATCGAGAAAGGGTAAATGTGTTAGCTCAAGAATTTAATGTACCATGATTGATCAGGTATTTATACAGACGAGGGTTGTTTTATTTATATGCGTTACGCACATTGAATATCTTATGCAATAGATTTTTAATGAAAAAAGTAGTAACAGTATCTTTCGCTGAGTTGCTAAGTAAATATATACCCCACTCTTGTTAGGTAACTAGAAAAAACGTACCTCGGCCAATGGACTTATTCAGGTCATGAAAAAAAACAGCCTCAATAACATTATTTTGCATCGGGAGTTAGATCTTTACCCTAAGTCCTGAAAAGGTCATAATCGTTTCTTGAGGCGCCACCATATTATATTCCCCATCACAGAATACTTTTAAATGCTTTATCAAAACATTTTATTATATATGCCTTCCGTTTTTTTTATATCTACTGACTATGAATTTTTCGTTTTAAATGTATTTCGCGTAAATAATGTACATACCCACAAAAACTGTACAAATAGATCGCTGGATACAAAGCAGATGTTTCTTGAGAATTCGTTATTCAATCTTAGTCTGAAACTTACATTACAAGGTTTATTTTTAGATTGAATTTATTTTTTTATTTATTACAGTAGAGGTCAGTACGCAAATGTAAAAAATGAGGTTCACAAAATATATCTATATACAACATAGATAATGCATCTTCTATCAAGATGGTTCACCTAAGTGAAATAATGAGAGCGCCATATGTATTATTATACATATTTAGCATTTATTAGGACAGAACGTTTTAAGCAGTGTTCGCTATGGCCTTATGGCTAGGCGCGCAAATTTTAACCAAAGGGATCATGCGTTCAAATAAACTTTGCTGTGCACCATTTTTATATCCAGGTATGTGCGTAATTACACATGCCTATTACCGTAGAGGAAAACATCGTGAAGATGCGTGTGTCAGGACCGCAGTAATCTCTCTTCTTATGTAATTTAGCAAGGCATGACTACATAAAACAGGTCTAACTAGTGAACACGAAAACAGCAAAAACATTTTATCTCTCTTGCAATTAACATTATCCTACGGCGACGTGTCTTCTGTTATACAATTAATCAAGATACGAGACCAATTTTTTTTTATAATAGGGGGGACAAACGAGCTTGCGGGACGACCAAAAAGGGCAGTCTTCGCAGTCAATAGACACCCATTCTCAGTGGGTGCGTTGCCGGCCTTTCAACCTATACGGAGATGTCTATGAAAGAGTGGGATCAAAAACTTCCCCTCATGCCCCGGCGTGAGGTGTTAGGAGGCCTTATAGTTTGTTACTGGCAATACGTTTGTAATTATAAGCAAGTCATATGTCTGAATACATTAATGAATAGTTTGGCAATAAAATAATTAATTACCAGTACATTATTGCTTGGATATTTATAGAATTGATCTAGAAAAGTAATTTGTGGTCGTATTTACTTACAAAGGCTAAAAAGTAGTAGTAGTAATAAAGTAGTAAAATGTAATTAAATATAAAAAATTAAGTTCTCAACACTTTAATAAACGACCACCAAAAATAATTTGATTTTAATGTTTTTGCATTAGATAGGTTATAACCAAACTTTGCCCAGCGTAAATAACAAATAAACAGCAAATGTAATATGATTGGCGATCTATTATCGTACGTATTGTCGAAACGTGACCGCTAGGTTAATCGTTTACTAACCTTATCAGAAGGCGAACGACAATATTATCACACAAACAACAGTCACTATAATGCAAAACAACACAATTTGAATACAAGATTATGTCAAGAAGTAATAAAATACGTTTTCGGACACTGTGTACATGCGCGCGAAACAACACACACGAAGCACAGACAACGCGAGTTCGCAAACTGACTGAAAGAGGAAACTGGAAAACCGATGTCTATGGTGACCCACGCATGCGTATTGCGCGCGGCCAAGGTTACGCCTCAACTCTAGACTTTATAGGTTTACGTATTTTCAAATTGTTAAATTGACAGTTATATTTTAAATCAACTTTGCTATTTGTTTTTAAAGAATTAAGTAAAACACGAAAAGCATAAGAAAACAATGTATATAATATAATGATAAAAAAAAACACTTCTTAGGTGCCACAAACTCACTTACCAACTGATTGTATGATATATCTAAATAGATATATAGAATATATCAAACATTAAAAGCTATAATATGAAATGTAACTAATAAAATAAGCTTAATTTTTTTACAAAAATGTCATGAGTCGGTGGCACTTTGAGTATCACTAGGATAGTAAAACATATTTTACTTATCTTCATAAACTTAATTGTTAATACCAGTAAAGAAAAAGATTTTTTTTATAAGATACCTTTCTTTTAAAAAAATCACATATCAAGAAATCTCTATGAAATCGTAAAAAATTTGTGCAAGTCAATGGTGAACGTCGAAGACCACACATTAATAACCTGTTTACTGTTTAAGAATTTTAAAAACAGTTTAAAAAAAGGTACCTTACTTAACAACAATATTGATTAAATAATCAATTCTATAAATCGAGATCGATATTAATGAGACCAAATAAGTTTTTGATAACTTACCACATGAACGGTCATATAAAAACATTTAAAAAAACTTATCTAGATTGTACATAAGTGCCTTTGGCAATAAATGTAATATGATTAAATTTTCAAAACTGTTAAAAAATAAGTCATGTTTTTCTTAGCATTTGGCGCCATCTACCCACCACTGGCGACAAATACAAATATTTCCTCCTACTATGTAAAAAATCAGTACTTACTACTACACGATATAAATTTACCTACAAAGGAATCTTTTTCACGGAATAGCTTTTAATGGTTTGTGTGTTACTATTATAAATGTCAATAGTATTTCAATTTCCAAGTAAGAAAACATTAGTTTTCGATAATAGCAAATCATTAAAAAGCTTTTTGAGACTTATATGTTTAAGAATTACTTATCAACGTACTAGATAGTTTCAAAAAATAATAGTAAAATGATACCAGTAAAGAAAAGCTAATCACTTATCTTCTTTCACTTATTCCATAGTTCTTTTAAAAATACGTAACTAGATTTACTTAAAAAACATTCGATATACTCTGGAAAATATATAACATATAATATATTATATACCTTTTGTTATTTAGGAACTATAAATAGGATGACCCTGTAAGGTATATTATTTATACTTATGAAAAACAAAAAACCCAAAAAATACTTAAAAACCTAATTGAATAACATAATAAACTCTTAAAAAAAACTTAACAATAATTTCATCAATAGTTAATATATTATGATTTAACTGCTCATTACTGGACCGATTTCGATGAATTTCGCACCGTAGTCGAATAAGACACCGACACGACGTTAACAATGCCCCAAGAAATCTTATCTAATAACTTATAACGATAAAAATGGTGCCTGATCTCAGAAAGCTTATACTTTTATCAAAAAATAGAACCTGCTATCTTAATATAAAAAACATACTAATACATGTACTTACTACTAGTTGGTGTTCTTTAAGCCCCAAAAAAGTTTACAAATTCTTGGCCAAGGGAATCATCACGTGATGCGTATCGCTGCAGTGTCGCTTCAACTCGGTGTACTTCCTAAACTTCTTATCGCACACCAAACAGTCCAAGATGGTGTTCCTGGCGTTGTGGGCGTGCCATTCGTGATCCCACTTGTCCTTCCAGGACTTGAATGTCGCCTCACAGAACCTGCAGTTCACGTGATAATTTCGCTTGTGCTGGTTTTTAAGGTGCTTATTGAGCGTCGAGGGGAAATGGAACTTTTTGTTGCAGCGCGAGCAGGACAAAGGGGCCGTTTTGAAATGCAACTCCATATGTATGGAGATGGTTTTTTTGGAATTGAACTTCCTCTTACACAGGTCGCACTCGTAGCGAGATTGGCCGTGGAGCTTCTTGTGTTTCGAGAAGTTGCTCGAGTCGCTGAAGGACTTGTCGCACAGGAGGCACTTGTAGATCGTCAGCTTGGCGTGCTCCCGCAGGTGGGCCTTGTAGGTGTCGACTCGGGAGAAAGTGGCGACACGGCAGATGTCACACACTATGCTGAGGGTCCCGTCTTCGTTGATCGGGTTCTTCGCGAGGCTCCTCTTGATGACGTGTTCTATGAGGTGACGCTTCATGTCGCTTATCCTGTCGAACTTCTTCTTGCACACAATGCAAATCTGGAATAGCACATGGACAATTCGTGAACAAACTACTAAAATAATTTTGATTATTAATTATGTATATACGAGTAAATGACGACAAACTTTAAATTCTATTAAATAACTGGTCATACGAGTAGAACAAAATATAAGTGGAAGAATGGTTCTTCTGTGGGGTTACCAATGTGGACGCAGGGACTGTTCCTTCAACCTAAACGGAGGATCTTCGACCAACAGAACCGGTGACTGACCCAAAGGCCCCAGGGGCTGAGGTTGAGATGTCGAATATATGCTTAGCATTGGATTAAATATTGTATATGTCGCTACATACTAAACACACTCAATCGGATATTCAAGTAGAAAAGCTTACCCGGGACATTCGCTTCTTATGAGATAGCTGTGGATTCATAGAAAAGAACCGATCATCAGCAATCTTCTGTATGACGGGATCACTCCCACGAATAGTGCTATCTTCGAAAAAGTCCAAATTGACATCGTTCAGGATGTTATCCACACTCTTTATAGAAAGACCGTCGTCCGAATTGAAGTTGTCTATTATGTGCTCGTCTAGATGTTTCAAATATTCTTTCTCTGTGTTGAATTCCGCGTTGCAGATGTTGCAGAAGACCACGCTGTGGGTCTTTACTTTATGCTTTTCTAGTGCGTCCAAGGTTTTAAAACCTTGTCCGCAGTATGAGCAGGAAAATTTTGGACTGTGTATTCGTGAAATGTGTCGATCAAGCGACGCTTGGTCGTTGTATGTTAGAGTACACTTTGGGCAGGGCAGTTGCCTGTTGTGTATCGACATATGCACGCGGAGAGTGTATTTAGTTCGAAGGACTTTATAGCATTTTGGACATTCCAAGTCGGGGTCGTTGTGCCCTGGAATATAAATAATGACTACTATTATATATATATTAAAAACGCTATTCAAGTAGCAACAGCAGATTTGCGTAAATAATTGTTTTAAATGCTAAAAAAATACACTTTTATTAGATTAAAACTACAAAACTTATTCGACACTTCGGGTTCCTTTTGTTTATAAGTTTTAAACCAATAAAAAAATAAGAACAGATAAAACATAACTTTTATTCAAAGCATTACTACAATAGAGTAACTGAGGAAATGCAAGAGCAACAGTATATAGTACCTATTATATTCCTAATTACTACATTAGCTTACAAAAGCTTAACTTAAATCTCTTGCTAATTTAGAAAAAGCTAATAATGACAGGCTGTAAGACCAAAATACAGATCAACGATCAATTATTTTGATCTGAAGTTACATAGGTAAATATGTAGAAGTTATATATACAAAAAGAAAAATAAATACACACCTAAAGCATGTTCCTTATACTTCTCCAAAGATTTGAAAGTTCTCTTGCAAGTTTCGCAGTGTTTCAAATTAACCTGGGATTGTTTCTTGTGGATAGTGGCATGCTGTCGAAATGCTTTTAACTTATCAAATGTCCGCTTACAATTTTGGCATTGATATATCTTCTTTTTACCAACATTAGTAAATTTAACAGAATCTGTGAAAAAACCATTGTAATACACAATCATTTAATTATTTAGAACATAATTTTCTGTTAAAATGTATATAGCCAATCAATATTTCACAGAAGATTAATTTCTAACCATTTAATTTAGTCTGAATGAATTACAATATGACAATTAGATAATCTATGCACCTACATACATATTTGAAAAGAGTAACAAATTACCAATAAGCAGCATGTAAATCTTACCTTCTATTATTTTTTTCCCACCACATTGCAGAGAAGAATCCTTAATTTGGTAAATTGTCTGGCCATTCTTAGAATTGTCTCCAGCAAACACAATAACTTTATTTTGTTTTGGCGATGCAAAGTCAGACATTAATTGTTTTAATGCACAGTTTTCCACAATTGCAATACTTTCTGTAAGAGAACAAGCACTGTCTGCCTCTCTGCATTTATCTATACCACTATTATTTCCATGAATTTCATTTTCATAATTTAAATCTTCTGAAGTAAAATAAGTGTTTTGGTTTTCACCAGAATTTTCAAAAATTAGTTCAGTGCTTTGACTGTTAAAATTGTCATTTTTTTGGCTATCTTCTCGCTCACGACTTGTGGATTTCCTAAATTTCTTGTGCAGAAATACAGGCTCTGCAGCTTCAGAGATTTCAATTTCTTCTTCTTGGTAGGTAATGGGTGGAATTTGTAGATGCTCAGCAGTTATATAAGAAAACTGTGGTGCTGAGTATAGTGAACAACCTTCGCCACATTCCACACCTTCAGACTGGTATTCACCTGGGCTAAGGTTCAACCATGCTCTATCATTAATATTAAAGGATAGATCAGCTTCTAAAAATGCGTTTTTTTGCAAAATAATTGGATTAGCTGGGGCTTTAGTATCAATGACTTTAAGGGCGATGTAGCCCTTATACACAGTTGTCCGTTGCTGATCTGTGTTATTCGAAAGAATGTCGACATCAAGAAATAAATTTTTATTGGGCCCAAAGTCGTGTTCGAATGTCACACACCATTTTGGAACGTACAGAACTGGATATGGATGTTCTACGACCATCTCAATTGTTTCACTTTCCATTTTCACTGAAAAAACATAATCCATCTTCACCGTGCCAATAAATTTCTATTTGAGGTAAATTATGAGTAAGGGAAGTAGGTAGTGAAATTCAGTTTAACAAAATATAAATATACTTACGACCTGCAACCCACTATGAACGAGTTTAAAATTGAGACACCACATTTAAAAAAAATTAAGAGTGGCATTTTGTCGGTACCAGGCGGTAGGAATTATTCTACCTCCAATTTTAAATGTTAATTCAAAATGTTGAACAACTAATTGTAGCTGCTTATAGAAGACTTTTTTTTTCTTCATTTTATTAGTTATTTACCTACTTTAGTATCCCATACAGCGTTTCAGTATATTTATGAATGCATATTGCATATTTGTATGTTAAAAATTAAAAATAATAGTTTAGCTAAATTCGTACACCATTGTCAAAAATTTAATAATTAGTAAATGTCATTATGACGTAATTGATGCTATAATTTTTGGTAATATTTCAAAAATTGTTTGGTTCTAAATATCGATGAATTAATTAAAGTGTTTCGTATCTTATTTAAAATTGTAAACAATTTCAAGATAAAACTTAAAATTAGGTTGTCTTGCCTTTGAATCTAAAGGTTGCAAGACTTTAATGCGAGTAGGTAACACTATTATAGTGTACTATCGTTGCATTATTTTTAAACAATCATATTACAATAATTAATATGTAAGTGAAAGTAATTAGATTCAGCATATAGGGTTCATCAAACTTATCTAAATGAGACAACAATAAGTAACAACAAAGTCAAGGGTAAAGATTCATTAACGCAGCCCTATCTCCTAGCTGATATCCATCTAAGAAATATTTTTAATATAAATATGGAAACTCTTACCATTCCTATATCAATTAAATCGAACTTGTTCAAATAAGTGCACATCTTAACAATACGTCTACATTCGCAATGTATTTTAAAATCGCAATCGTAACGTTTTGCCTAATTTTAAAAATAGAAGGTGAATAATAACCCACAGATAACTCTTTTGTATTAATATGTGTTTTATAAATTTTTATTACATCATGATTATACTTTTTAAAGGAGGTTCTACGGTCCAGCCATACAATGTAAAGGATTTATTGTCTTCTCGTATAGTGGGGGGGTATAGAAGCCTCTCCTAGCTACGTCAGGCACATGGTTGCCCTGGTGTTTGGTGAAAGATTTAAATGGTTGACTTGTGGTGGATCTATTATTACGCAGAGACACATTCTGACTGCCGCCCATTGTATTGACCCTTACATAGATCGTTGGAGCCCAACTGGACTTAATCCGTGAGTAACATACACTTTAATAATGCAGGGTTAATATCATTGAAATAATTATATGTACTTTCTAATATTAAAAAAAATTAATAACGAATGTGTTGCAGAGCCGAAGTAATATTTTGTTTTTACTGGTAAACTATTAATTATAGGGAATGATGAGTGATACATACTCTATGATCAAAATATAGATACGATTAAATTTGTAGATGCATTATTGTATTTAATCAAGCAAATATGTCCCACTTACTGCTCAATTATTATACCTTCTCGACAAAAAAGCCCCGTAGCACGCCCCGGCATGCCTTGACGGATTCGGGCGATCCAATAATAATAGCTAATGACATTAGAAGCCACCCGCGCGGCAAAGCAAAATGAAAATCAGATGAAGGTAAAAAAATTACCTTCACCGGGGAAGGCGATTGACCACCACGCGACGGCCCAAGCCGAGGTCCGAGTCGCGCAGATGACATCCTTGCGCTAGTCGCGGCAATACGTCCATCTCGGTCCTTAAAACACCCCAAGCTCTGCTGTAAAGGCCCTTCAGGCCAACAGCGAGGTTGCATTTAAAAAACTACTTATAGCGTCAATTAAATACTAAATTATCTGAAACGCCTGAGTTTACAGTTTTGGTCATTCGTTTTTGGTATTTAGTAATAAATTAAAGTTTAGAAAGTCTATATATAGCGTGCTCTGTATTCTGTTAATATTAAAAATCAAACTATCTCGTATATAAGTATAAGTATCTTTAATATCGTGTAAGTATCTTTGACACAGGACAATATTACGTATCTATCCCAAATTCGCCCGAGTTTAGTTAAATTGAATCGACTTATAGTACGGGGGCGTGACAAATGAATTATATTATTTCAGATCATTACGAGGGTCGATTGGTTCAAAGTACTGGGTCTCTACTAAGTACATGATCGAATTTCAAGGATTTGTCAACCATCCAAATTGGAATTCATTTACGATTAAAAATGATATTGGCATACTGATAACAAAGAGAGAGATACAGTACAATGATGCCATCCAACCCATTGCGTTGAATCTAAAGTTTATAGACCGTTCAGTGACAACTTTTGTCACCGGTTGGGGTGATTTGGAGGTAAGTTCCTATTGTTATAGCGTTCATTTCTTTACCAACGCCATGTCTAGCGATAACTCTAAGTGAGAGTCGTGATTCCTACACTTTTAATAGATTTTTATGTATTACGAACGACTTGCTAATCAAGTCTAGTAGGCACAATGTTTTGGATAATTTTGTCTAGCAGCGGACATAATATAATTCTCCAGCTATCACTTGGGTCTTAATGAAATAAAATCAGTCCCAAATATTGTTGACTTAATACGTTAATTCTTAAAATTTATTTTTCTGTATGTTACAGTTGTTTGGACAGACACCTGATCGTCTACAGATGTTAATTACCAGCACTATAACATCTAAGCAGTGTGTAGCAGCCGTGAGGAACTACACTAGCGGCACAGGAGCAGGTGCACCTCCTTATGAACCCAAAACGGAGATTTGCACCTTACTCTCTAAGGGTCATGGGATGTGTCATGTAGGTATTTATTTGTACATTACAATGTTTATGACCCTTCAGTAACTTTTCAATATTATAGCTAAATTAATTACCGTGAAAGGTGATAAATCGTATATTTTGCTCAGAGAATAGAATTAGGGGTTTCATGATTGTTATTACAAGAATATATCATGTAAGGATTATATTTGTTACCTTAACCTACATTTGATGATAATGCTTACCTTCTCTAACATTTTTATTTACAGGGTGATTCCGGCAGTGCTTTGATGACCTACTATGGACTTCGGAAGCAAATTGGTATTGTGTCGTGGGGATTCCCGTGCGCACGCGGCGCTCCTGACTTTTTTACAAGAGTTAGCGCATTCGTTAACTTTATTTACGATGTTGTGAGGCCATTTTCATTGCAAATTCAATAAGACACTGCATCGACTTAGATAAACTCAATTTGTTGCTATGTTATAAGAAATTTAGTGTTCTGTCGAAAATGAATGTTAATAAAGTCTTTATTTTAAAAATGTTGTGTCAATTTATCTTGTATTTGTATTAAAATAAAAATAAAAATAAAATATGTTTATTATGGAACATAAGATACATGTATCACTTATTCCACGTCATTAAATTTGAAGGCATCCCTACTCATCGGCAAAGAAGACAGAGGGTGTAGGCCGAGAGAAAAAGCCGGCGTAAAAAACTCTCGGTAGGTACTCTTTTAAAACAGCAAATCATCAAACAACACTTATTTAAAACAAATATCGCAAATTGATTAGAAGTAGCCTGTCTAGCACTAGTCCCAGGCCCTTTTATCAACTAGATAATCGTTGATTTTATAGTAAGCCTTTTTACACAGCTTTTCTTTAATACATTTCTTAAATTTATTGAAAGGCAGTGATAAAAGAGCCTCTGGGATTTTATTAAAGAAGAGTATCCCTTTCTCCAAAAAAGAATTACTAACTTTAGATAGTCTAGTACGGGGAAATTGCAGCCTGCGTTTGTTCCGTGTATTAACATTGTGCGTATGTTCTATTCTAGTAAACTTATCACTATTTTTGTATACATACATAATATTTTCATAAATATATTGCGAGGGAAAGGTAAGTATATTAATTTCCTTGAATTTATCTCTAAGAGATTCCCTACATTTTAAATTATAGATTGCACGAATAGCCCTCTTCTGCAGGATGAAAATAGTTTCGACATCAGCAGCATGACCCCATAATAATAAGCCATAAGTCATTAAGCTATGAAAGTAACTAAAATAAACAAGTCTAGCTGTATCGACATCAGTTAGTGAGCGAATTTTTTTAACCGCGTAGGCTGCAGAACTAAGTCTCTTCGCCAATCCGTTAATATGAGGGGACCACTGAAGTTTTGAATCCATGGTGATTCCGAGAAATACAGTTGTATCATCCAGATTCAATTCCTCACCGTTTATAATTGGTCTAGTATCCATAACCCTTGCATTTTTTGCACAAAATTTAATGCATTTTGTCTTTTTTGCATTAAGTAGAAGGTTATTCATACTAAACCAATGGACAATCGAAGACAGAGCATTGTTCACATCGTCAAAATTTGTTATTTGTCGTTTGATTTTAAAAATCAAGGACGTGTCATCAGCAAACAAAACTATCTGATGTTTTCTCTCTACCATGAAAGGTAGATCATTTATATAAACAAGAAAGAGGAAAGGGCCAAGAATTGAGCCCTGTGGTACCCCATATCTACTGCCGACCCAGAGGACCTCTTACCATTCACTTCAACCTTCTGAGTTCTTCCGTGTAAATAGGAAGTCAGAAGATTCAGTGCGGTATTCTTGATGCCATAGTGGCGGAGTTTCCCGATTAAGGTCTCGTGTTGGACACAATCAAATGCTTTGGATAAGTCGCAGAAAACACCTAAAGCGTCATGCGACTCCTCCCAAGCCTTAACTATATATCTATATAACTCAACACCGGCATCGGCTGTCGAGCGACCCTTGGTAAAACCGAACTGATTATTATGTAATAATTTGTTTACGTTAAAATGACTTACCAGTTGATTTAATATAATTTTTTCAAATATTTTACTACAAGTAGGTAGTACGGAAATTGGTCTAAAGTTACTGGGGTCGGACATACTACCTGCTTTAAATAAAGGAATAACTTTACTATGTTTCATTAGATCGGGAAACTCGCCACTTTTAATACAATTGTTGAAAATTATAGCTAGATGGGGAGCAATTACATCAATTATGCTACTAATTATTTTTACAGAAATACCCCAAAGATCGGTAGTGTTCTTAATATCTATGGTTCTAAATATCCTCACTATATCGTCGGCACCAATGGGTCGGAATGAAAAACTGACCTTGCACTCGTTTACATTATCTTTGAGCAGCGATTCGGCGAGGGCGGGAGATGATTGAAGAGACTTAGTAGTCGAAATTGGAATGTCAGAAAAGTACTTATCAAAAACAATCGCTATCTCTTCGTTAGATTTGATTATAGTGTTATCGACACATAGTTCGATGTCTTGATTGCGATCCCTGACTCTTCCAGTTTCACTATCAATTATCTTCCAAGTCATTTTAGTTTTATTGGTACTATTTTTAATCTTGTTTTTGATATTTAAGGACTTGGCCGCGTAACAAACTTTCTTAAATAATTTCGAATAATTTTGAACATAAAGAATAAATTCTTCATTATGATTGTATGACTTTTCAGCGTAAAGGTCATACAACCGTTGTCTACTTTTATAAATTCCCGCTGTCGCCCAATCACTAAACGATTTACACTGCGAATGAGAGACTTTCTTTGGGGTAAAGATGGTGTTGAACTCTTTATTAATACAATCACTTAGATTGTTGTATTGTGTATCAACGGTAGTACCTACCGGTAATAAAGGTAGGCGTTTACCTATATTATGTCTAAATCTCACCATTCGCTTTTTATTCACTGGAACAAACACACTGCTCTTATTTACTTGTTTCACCACTTTACATTTTAGCGCCACTAACTGTCCACAATGATCTGAGCTAAGATCAGTTGTAATTGAGGTTTGCATTGCCTCTGCATCTGTAAATACATTATCTATACATGTAGCAGTGGAGCTTGTAATTCTAGTGGGCTCAAGAAACAAGTTAACAAGATTGTAAGATTTTAATAACAGATTGAATTTTTTACTAATGGAGGTATTTTCTAATAAATTTATATTGAAGTCACCACATACAATAATATACTTATTGTTCTTAAAACTAACTTTACACAAAATTTCCTCCAACTTTTCTTCAAAAAAATCGTAAGATGCACTTGGTGGTCTGTAAACACTTAAAATAATGCAATTCTCAATCTCTATACAGGCTACTTCCAAAGAGTGTTCTACAGACAGACACACGATGTCATTACGCTCTTTATACTTTAAATTTTTATTAACAATAATCAAAGAGCCCCCATGAATCGCCGACAATCTGCAAAACGAACTTGCAACTTGGTGCTGATCAAAGTTAAAGATGATTTGGCATTCTCTAAGCCAATGTTCGGTAATGCATAGGACATCAATTTTACTTGATTTTAAAAACAACTCCAATTCTAATTCTTTGCCCAACATACCTTGCATGTTTTGATGCATCAAGTTTAAACAGTTGTTGTTAGTAATATAACATGTTTGTGTTGAGCTGAGTTGTACTAAATTATTGCTAGAGTTTGCCTCTATTGTCACACTATCTAATTTAAATTATTTATACTTAATGAAGTGCTACTGCAAGTATCACTACATTCACTTAAGCTAAGCTGCTCAATAGAAGCAGTTGTCTGAAAAGCTAGCTGCTCAATAGAAACAGTTGTCTGAAAAGCTAAATGTTTAGCTTTAGTTGTAAATAAAAAGTAAGATAGCATAGTAGCTATCTGTTGTAAATAATAATTAGGTAGGCGGAACCTATCCTTTGTCAATACATACTTATTTTTAAATATACAATTTATGTCCATTAAATTAGGTAGTGTACCTAAGCCACAATTTAATTGTATATTGTTAGTAGTTAACGTATTGTGCAACAACATGTATTATACCTAGTCCAGCCATAAGTTCTGTTAGAAATATAAATGCACTTTTTTAATAAAGTAATGTAATATTATTATAATTTATTTATTTAAAGCCACCTTTGGCTTTTACACAGGCCACGATCTATGGATTTACGCCACTGTTTTCAAGGGAAATTTCGCCACTGCTTGCTCCAAAGATTTTTTAAGAGACTCAATGTCACCGTGTCGCTTAGATCAGACCATGTCCTCTGAAACTGACCATAATTTGAAGTCTAAAGGGTTGTGGTCTGGGCTAGATGAGGGCCAGTCCTCAGCTCTTATAAAGTTCGGAACGTCGGGTTTAAGCCAGGCTTGGGTAGTTCGTGCCTTGTGACCAAGTGCAGAATCCTACTGGAAAGTCCACAGTATATTTTTCAAAAGTGTATTGCTGAGAGGTTTCACAACATGAACCAAGACACTTAATACACTTTGGCTGAATTGTTCACTTCTTTTTTAGAAAATTTAGTTTTGTGACTCCTTGATAAGATACGCCCCACCAAACCATAACTAAGGCAGGATGATGACCACTTTGTACCTTTCCGACCACTTGTGCAGCTTCTATAGGGCTGTGAGCGTACACTTTATCATTTTGCTTATTGTAGTGTTCTTCAATCATAAAAAATTTTCATCGGTAAAGAGGATATTTCAGTTTCTTTTTACCTGGGTTTCGCGATAGAAGGCGTTTTGATCGATCCACTCTCATAAATTGTAAAGAAAGATTTAGGGCGTAGCCTGGCGGGAATCTTTATTTCTCGCGATTAGATTTTTTGCTGCCTAATGGGGTTTTGACGAATTCTGGCTTTAACAGCATTAAACGACTTTGCAGTTCTAACAGCACGCGGCCGCCCCGAACTTTTCTAGTCGACAGACGAAGTGTTGTTGTATCTGTTGATAGTACGATATACGAACATACGAATGATACCAAGCTTCAAGTGTCTGGAATATGACCGAAGGCTCCATACCCACTTTGTGCAAGGCGATCACTGCAATCCTATTTTCTTAAACACTACATTCCATATTGTAATTTGATAATGAACACGAAAAAATATGTGAAATGGCGCAAAATCGAAAGGAATTTTTTAAAATAATATACGCGTTCCAAATTCAAAATAATTAAAAAGTTGATTAAAAGAAAAGTTTTTATGTAACAGTATTTATGGCCAGATTCGTTATACATATATTGTCAATCTCGACTAGGAGATACTCCTTTTTCTTTTTGGGAAAGGTAGAATTCTTGAAAACGGTTCATGTTAGGATTAGGATTAGGTTAGGAACGGCATGCGTCCATGCGTCGGGTAGTCTCTATCCCTAAAATATGGCGAGAAAGCCGATGGCTGGCCATGCATCATACTCGTGAACAGGTACTACTTGTGGTGACTGGTTGGACTTGAATTCGTGTTTGCGTGTATCAGTTATATCGACTATGTATTTGCGTGTTGTTCCCATGCCTGCTGCTGATGGAGCACACATTTTTGTTTTTTATATTTTTTATTAACTACTTTTAACTTTTAATTACTACTTTAAGAAGTCATGTGGAACATGATGTAATGGTTGCAGCTCCTTACAAACATTGTGTTAAACAAAAAACTTGGCGCTTCTAAAGAGTGACGGAGAGTTTATTGCCAGTTCTTTTCGTCCGTTGTATGCATGCAAATTAGAAGCATGTGACCTTTTAATATGACTTTTTTTTATTGATGTTCATAAGTATACATTGTGTTACCTAAAATATGAATAAATGATTTTGAAAAGTAGCTACAAAATGTAAGTCGAATGTGATTTCTTTCCTCAATCGATTCTAGGAACAAAGCAGATTATCGAATCCTGATAAGAAATATCCTAACATTATATTATCTTTGTTTAAATACGACCTTAAACTTTATTAGAATTAGGCCTTTTAATTCCCAAAAATTGTTGCGTTATTTGATCTCGGATGTCCTAGCCCTCACAGTTCTTGACGAACAAAATGTTCGATGATCTTTATAGATTGCGTGTTCACTTTAATAAAAGAATTACTTTCTGAATACCTAATTATTATTATTTTTTATTGGAATCTCCTTGTTGGCCTGAAGGGCGACAAAGGCTCACGGGAATGAGCGAAGTACGAAATAAGGGACCTTGCCTTTCCCAATAAAAGCGGCTTTTAATTTGTTATTAGCTGCTGTTATTGAATCATCCGGATTCGTTAAAACGTCTTTTCGTCGGGGCCTCCTACGGGCTTTGTTTGGGCGATAAGGGAGTAATGGTTGATGCGGGAATAATTTTGATGACCAACAGGTTGGGATGATGTTAAGCCTTTCCGAAGTGCCGCATGGACGCCAACTACATCCATTGGCGATGGTAGGGAGCTACAGGTCATGGTCATGATCGACGTTTCTCGCGAAGTAGGGCCGTCGCATGTAGTAGCGGGGCCTACTAATGAGCAATCTCATTCAGGCAACATCAGGGAGATACAAGGAAGAACGGGTACTCGTAGTCTATAGGTTTTCCATTAATAGGGGATTATAAATCGATATGAGAGATATAATCCGTGATAATTAAAAAGATTGTACGAGTGACATTATCAAAACACAAAATGGCTTTTAAAGTGGGTTTAATTGCCTTAACGCTTCTTGTTGGAAGCCTGGGTAAGTTTGTTCGTTTATTCCATACTTAATGTAATAGACCGTATATTACATAATATTTTTCTGTTTAACTCCAAATTCCAATAAATAGTGTTACCAATTGTGATTGTCTCCTACGTTGTCTTTTTACCAGGTGATACCGACGTTCCAAAATCACCGCTTCTAAATAAAAGAACTTCATAATGATACAAAAATCTTTTTTATTTTCATTTTTTATCAACAACTACTTTGCGATTCTGTAACTCACACCGCCGTTTTCACAGCGTCGGTCGCGCTCAAATCAGTCGTAAAGCAGTCATTTTACGATTTGGCATTCTGATAAGGAGGGAGCTTGTAGTTTATTGAGTTACAGAATCGCAAGGCAGTTGTTGATAAAAAATGAAAATAAAATATCAAAGATCTTTTCGGAAACAAAATCTACTGACATTCCGATGTCCTGGCTAGTGGTATTAACTGTTGTCAATGTTATGGATAGTTCGGCAATACATAGTTCCATGGCATCGGCTGTTCTGTTGGTCTTGCAATTTGTCGAGCCTGGCATTTTGATCACGTTGGAAAGACTGCAGCCACTCCCCCTATCACATTTATCTAAAGTTTGAATTAATCGATAAAGGCAAAAATTATGTTTATTGCCCAAACTGTATAATGTTTAATAATATCTGCCTTAAAACTTTGCAGCAAAACCTGCTAAAGAAGATGACATGTCCATCTTCTTTGACCACACAGACCCCAAATCACGCATAGTCGGTGAAAATGTAGCCGGAACTAGCCCGTGGATGGTGGTGTTAACCTCTGGATTCCTAGTCAGAAATATATGGTGTGGAGCCTCAATCATCACAGACAGACATTTGCTCACAGCCGCCCATTGTATTGATGGACAATTTATCTTGGGACGTTTGAGCAGGTATGTCAAGTTACCTTATATTTAGCTGACGATCGGAAGGACCTTTTTTAAACTCTGGTAGAGTTTAAAAAAGATCCTTATTGAAATTGGCGATTTTTATGGGAGGAACATTAAGTAGATTTTTTTTAAATAGAATATATTGAATTAATCAAAGTATGTACCATTGCTATCTATGCACTTTTGCCATCTTAAAGGTAGTTCATTGGTCAGTACTAAAAAACCTTTCGGACGGGAATCAATAAAATCCTAGAAGGCGGTTTTGACTGCCAGACTTGAATTTTTTACCTTGCATGAAGTTATAAAATTTCGAAATAAATGGTAATCTGTTGGCAAGGTCCAGGGATTACGGTGAATGTCTTAGACATTCCAATTGAAGCTTCTCTAATTTGGTAGCAGCCTGTTGCGTCTAGGTCTAGCGTTGTCGTAAAGCAGCAGGCTTAGAGCGATTGACCAGCCTTGGTTCTTTAGCTGATAGCTTTTCCACCATGGTTTGCAGTTGCTGACAATTGACATCTGCCGTAATCGTCTGGTCAGATTTAAGAAAGTTATCATGAATTACCCCGGCACTAGTTCACGAAAGAAAATTAAATGAATCATGGTATTTGAACCCAAGTGCACGAGTAGGTAAATAGCTAGAAAACATTGAATTTGGAATTCATAAGAAAATAGGAGATATTTGAGGTCAAAAGTTGCCAGTTCGACAAAACGTCAATTTCATATGTATTTATTTCACCTAATATAATGAAAAAAGAACTTATTAACTATTAAGTATTTTTTAGATCTCTTCGCGCTACAGTCGGCATAAATCATTGGAACAGTGGAGAAGTGCACTACAACATTGCGAGCAACATCACCCACCCTAACTACGTCTACGAAATTATCAAGAACGACATTGGAATACTCATCACCAGAAATGCAATACTCTTCACTGATACTATTTCTCCTGTGACCTTGAGCTTTGATGTGGTCGGCAATGGGGTCGCAACTACTGTCAATGGATGGGGAAGAATACAGGTAATATAATATTCTTAGTTCTGTAGCGACACCTAAAATCTGAGGTTACCATCAATGTAGTGACGTTATGGCGTCATGATATGCCCTGAATCGCACCAACGAAATACCTATTTCCAATAGCTGAGTAACATCTCGATATAAGCCACTGGGGCTTTCGGTCCAGCCAATGGCTATGGCTATGCCTTTAGGTTGGAGGAACAGTGTGCTGTCCATTTCCTTTACTTATCCAATATACAAAAGTTTCCATTTAAATCTAGAGTCTACAAGCTAATAGCAGAATCGTATCCGACTTTCAACTCGATTGTTGCATTCAACAACTTAATTAATGCAAATTTAAATTCAGGCTGGAGGTGCTGCATCTGCTCAGCTTCTGGAACTACAAGCCGCCACTATCGATGGTCTCGTCTGTATGATTGAAGTTCCACGAGTCGCTGCCGAGGTTGACATATCATCGCCTCCAGTGGAACCCCACATTGAAATCTGTACCCACCACTCTGTTGGTCATGGTACTTGCAACGTAAGTTTTTTTATTGCAAACAAATTTGAATATATACCAATAATTTCGGCATATTATAGTTCATTGTATATCTGTCGCAGCCAACTAGCTTAATTAGACGTTCAATTAACAGCCTAGCTGTTTAACTAAAGGCGCTGTTTAACTAGCGGCCTGAAAGATTAAACAGCTAGGCAAATTACTTGGATCGATGACGTTTCATTACTTGCCTAAGCTGTTTACTATTAATTTAAATTTTATTCCACTTTCTGCCACTCTCAAACTTGAAAAGAAACTCTTCAAACTGTCAATATGGCGTTGGCAAACCACAACTTTGATAGTGTTTTTCAAATTTTCATGAAAAAAAACAAGTACAATGGAAAAGTGTAGTGACAATAGAAATGTGAATTTCACTTAAGCAATTTAATTTTAAAATACATATTTTTTATTCATATGTTTATGACTCTGTCGTACGAATGATCTAAGCATTAGCCACCCAGTATATTAAATGTTGTAACAAACGCTAACGGCTGAATATCTTTCAGGCCGTTAGTTAAACGGCCCCGTTTAGTTAAAAGGCTAGGCTGTTAATTTAAAGGCTAATTAAGCTAGTTGGCTGTGACATATCTTTTTAGAGCATAGATAGTATAGCACTGTTTACCTGGTGAAATAATAGTTGTTTCTGGTCGGTTGGCTCTTACAGCTGATTGACGTTTAGTATTTTATTAATTTTATAGTTTATATTGTAATGTACTTTTCGATCGACCGTATGAATAATAGTTAGGGAGGCGAATAGGTGAAATTTCTGTAATACTCGAGCGTGGCAGTTTAAGATATGAGAGATACCTTAGACCTAATAGAACAACCTTGTAAAGTATTTAGCTCTATATGTAGTGACGCGCGCCTAGGATAGACGATCAGATTAGTAAAAAAAAATCGATAGTCTGCAATACTCGAGCATGTCAGATTAAGATATTGGGGGTTGATTTTAGTGTTTTAAGACTAAATTTAACTAATCTGACGATAAGTCCTTGATGCCGCCGAGTTATAGGGTCGCGAACTTGTAAAAAAAAATGTTATTCCGGCATTCTCGAGCGCAATTTTTAATTTTTAATTTTGAAGAATATAATCTAAAACTTACTAAAAATACAAAATCTGCCGGTTTCCGCATGACCGGAAGTGTGGAGGAGCCATTTCGTCTTCCGAAAAACGCGCTGCGGCATATAAGTCGCAACGATACATTTTACAAAAAAAGTTTAAATAAACAAAAAAAGGTAATTTTATTTTACACAAAAAAGGTCTCTTTACATTTTTTTCCAAAGTTAAAACTTTATTACTTGAAGCATCATAAAAACTCAAACTCCCGGAAAACTGAGGGTGTTAAAAAAAATTGATATGAAATAACGATGATTAAATATTGTGACTTTTATTATTTCTCAAAAAAAAATTTTCTAAAGCTTCTCGACAATTTTCGTGGACTCGGAAAAAGTTACGCGTATCTATATGCAAAAGTATTATTAACATGTACAGTTTCATGTATGTATATTATTCAATAGCCTGTTGATCCTCAAATGGTTTTTTGGACGTACCGTAAGCAAAACGAAGTGAAGAATTAAAGCAAAAAAGAGGAATTTGCCATAAACATGTAATACAGACTGAGCGCTTCGCGGAAATATGCCGTCCTACCAGTATTTTTCCTTTATTTAGCAACATTAATGGTGGGGAAAGAAGAAAAAAGAAACCAAAAAACCTTTTTCGCACAGATTAAGAGAACCCACCAACATTTTTGTCAGGTTAAGAAAATATCCTTTCAGGATACCGAGATAAACCTCCCCTATGAAAATCTGACGCGCTCGAGTATTTCAAAAAAACTTTTTTTTTTGCATTTTCAAAAATTCATCGTTAATTATCGTCACGCCGAAATCGTCAGTTTTTTAAAGGAAGCTTCCTTGGGGCCTACTTAACACCCCTTCCGAAAATCTGACGCGCTCGAGTAAATTTTTTTTTTTTGCACGTTGACTACTTTATATGCGTACCCCCACCACGCAAACTGGCAGATTAGTATACCGTTGTTATCAGAGGCACTTGGGGCATACGTAGTATGAATATCAGACGCGCTCGAGAATGCGCTCTAAAATGGTTTTTACCATACGAGATTTTCTTTTCGAAATTATTTTATCTTTCGATTTTGATAGGTCTCGACGACGCCGTTAAATTACGCCATTTAGCTACCTCGCCTCCCTAACTATAAGTGGAAAGTTCTAGTCTGTAATAAGACTGATACTTTGTGTACAACGTATAGTAATAATATTATTCCTAAATCTATTTAATCTAGAGTTATTTTTTTGCAGGGTGACTCCGGCAGTCCACTTGTAAGGAGCGACACCAAACAACAGATAGGTATCGTATCTTGGGGAATTCCGTGCGCACACGGTGCTCCAGACATATTCGTAAGGATCAGCGCATACAAAGCATGACTCGAAGCTTCCATTCTGTAATAATAAACTAGAGAAAATAAAGAATTAGATAAAGGATAAACTTTTTTTCATTTCTATTTAGCCTTAAGTTTTATGAATGTTTTAGAAATGTCGATAGAGGAATTTATAAAACAAATGAACTTAATAGGTCTACTAGATAATAGATAGCCAAGATTAATATATGAGTAAATCTTCCATGTAAAGCCATGTTCTTTCCATTAGATAAATTCTTTCATTTTCTTTTTCTGTTCTGTGAATACTTGTTAAAATCTTTGGTCATAGTATAATAAAACATAATATATCTTTATGCATTCAATTTCGACTAAATTTGTGGTGTGTGAGATAAAATAATATGAACATTTTACTGAGAATATTGTATTTCCAGTGACATTAAATATTTCGTACGCTTGAAATTTATATTAGTAGTAGATGATAAAGTTATATAAGAGTAATCATACGTAATTAATTAAAGATAATACTAATTCTTGTATAAAGTGAAAATCCACGCGATAATATTAAAAAATATAAAACGGCATTCAAAGCGGGATTGTTTGCCTTACCGCTACTTGTTGGAAGTACCTAAACCATGGTTGATGTTTGTAAATAGACACAAAAAAAAAACTGCAAAACTTTTAATATAGTTTTATCATGGGACGGTTTAATAGTAAATAATTTGTATTAAGTTTTTAAAACAATTAATATTGGTTGAATATCGAACGACGTTCAGTTTCCTTGAGGAAAGGTAAATTAGCCTCCAAAAAGCTTTGTGCTCAGCAAGGCGAGGCGGTACTTCACTCCGCCACCATGCAACTATATAAACAAATTGCCCCACATGGAGTACTGCTCTCACCTCTGGCGGGGCCTCCCTACCAGCTCCTTCCACTTACGTATACAACCAGAGCGGTTCGAATCGTCGAACCAATCCCTCTCCACCTATCTTGGTTGGTAGAGATTGGGGTATCTATCTTCTACCCATTTACATGAGAGTGTTCAGAGGAGTTGTTCGGATTAATACCTGCACTGAGTTTCATCATCGGAGTAGACAGAATAGAAATTCCACCCGTATCACCTCGACGTCCGCCGTTCCACAACTGAGCGTTTTTCAAGGAGTTTTTGCCGCGCACCACCACTATGTGGAATCAGCTGCCCACTAAGTATTTCCGAACCAATTCGACTTAGGGTCCTTCAAGAAAAGAGCGTACCAATTCTTAAAAGGCCGGCAACGCACTCGCAGCCCTCTGGCATTGAGAGTGTCCATGGGCGGCGGTGTCATAACATCAGGTGTGCCTCCTGCCCGTTTGCCCCCTTCTATAAAAAAAAAAAAAAAAAAGTTTTTGTGGTGCAAACTAAAAACTTTTCCAACATAATTTCCAAACAATTAAATTTCGTGTCAATTACGTAGAAGTTATTTATAATAAGCTTCATTAATCCGAAGAAAGTAGTACACGTATATTATCTAAACTAATATTATAAAGAGGAAACATTTGTGTTATTGTATGTATGTTTGTAATGTTTTCACACAAAAACTACTGGACCGGTTACAAAAATTCTTTCACCATTAGAAACCTCCATTTCCAGAGACTGACATAGGCTATATTACATTTTCAAAAAGGGATCCCTAACAAAAACCAATAATATAACCCAAGGTGTGAAAAAATTATCTACTAGGTATATTTTAAATAGTTATGTAAACACCGTAAAACAGTATTTGAACTATCTTAAATACAAGTCGATATTTTATTGTTGTTGCAGCGGTATTACTTACAACTTTGCTCACCCACCCTCTCTACGACGCCAAAACTCTCAAGAATGATATTGGAATTCTTATTACATGAGATATCAGCTTTACTGGAGATACTATACTGTCAGTGGATGGGATAGAACATAGAATTTACTTTAAAGTTTCTGAAGTCATAATAATTAATCGAGGAAGAAAAATTACAGAATCAGAAATCATACAACAACCTTTCTTCTTCTTATAGTGCCATCTCCTTGCTAAGGTTGGCGATCATCATGGCTATTTTAATTTTGGATGCCGCGCTTCTAAACAATGACTTGGTGCTTTGACCAAACCATTGTCTCAAGTTTTTCAACCAGGACGTGCGTCTACGGCCAGGTCTCCTTCTACCTGCCACTTTACCTTGTATGATTAGTTGAAGGAGCTCATATTTCTTGTAGTTACGTAAAACGTGTCTGAAATACTCAAGTTTCCTTTTCTTAACCGTCATAAGCACTTCTTTGTTCTTCTGCATTCTGTCCAGTGTCCAGCACGGTTGTATTTCGTATGCGGTCTGTCCAAGATATTTTAAGCATACATCGATAAACCCAGATCTCAAACGCTTCCAGTTTTTTGGACATAGTCTCTGTCAGCGTCCAAGATTCTACGCCGTAGAGCAGCACAGAGAAGACGTAACATCGCGCAATGCGAGTTCTAAGCTGTAAATTTAGTTTAGTTTTGAAAAGGCGTTCCGAGCTTGTTCAATTCTGCAGCGGATTTCGATGCTATGGTCACCCTTTTCATCAATCACTGTGCCTAGATATCGTATTTTCGAGACACGTTCCAAGGTCTGATTGTTGAGGTATATATGTTGCGTGAAAAGCTCCGGTGTTCGGCTTATTGTCATATATTTTGACTTTTTCGCATTGATGCTAATACCAAATTCAAAACTCACGGCGGCAACTGAATTGACTAAATTCTGTAGACCATCGAGGCTCTCTGCGATTAAGATCGTGTCATCAGCGTATCTCAAGTTATTCAGCAGTTTTCCATTAATTTCTATGCCATGTTGCCAATTATCTAGGGCTTCTGAAAATATTGCATCGGCATACAAGTTAAATAGCAAAGGTGATAAAATGCAACCTTGACGCACACCTATCTGAATCTCTATATATGAAGAATGTTTGCTGTTTACCCTTATATTAGCACTTTGCTTCTGGTTTTTAATGAAACAGCAATCTTTATAATCTGAGCTAATTCTCTGGAGTATTTCCATCATTTTACCAAGTCGTAGATTATCAAAAGCCTTCTCATAATCGACAAAACAGACGAAAAGATCCCTGTTCTTGTCCAAGCATCTCTGTATCAACACTTGATAGCCATAGAGAGCGTCTCTCGTTCCTAAACCGCTTCGAAAGCCAAATTGGGTGCAGGATAGTGTTGATTCACATTTAGAGTATATCCTATTATGTATCACTTTCAAAAAGAGTTTCAAAACATGGCTCATAAGCGTGATAGTCCGATAGTTGTTGCATTTTTTGGGATTCTTTGTTTTCGGAATAGTGATAAATGTTGACTTAAGCCAGTTAGAAGGAATGGTTCCTGAGTCGTATATACCATTAAAAAGGGTTGTGATATAATCTTAGTTACATTCCTCAATTTCTTTTATAATCTCTGTTGGTATATTATCAGCTCCGACAACAACCTTTAGTTTTATCTTAATACACAGGCCGGAGGCTACATGTCTGCCCACCTTCTGGAAATGCAGGTAATGACTCTCGATGGTTGAAATGCTTCGAGTTGCCGGCCAGTTAAGCCTAAGGCAGAACCCCACATTGAAATTTGAACTTTCCACTCCAATCGGTAGGGTGTCCTTCATTCACGTTTTCACTTTTCGTGAACTATAAAGAATGCGACCCAATTCCGGTACTTGCGGATCTAATCAGTACATACTTAATGATCCTGATATGAATGTTATGGAATATATGTAAACATAAAATAATCATTGAAAGAACTGAAGCCACACACAACATTGAAGTCATGCTGGAAAAAAGTGTGGCCTGTTCTGTCTGCGGAAAATGACGCAGAATCTATGCAAATTGAAACATTGACTGCAAACATAGCCGTAATTGTGAATGAAATAGGACGAGATGAGTTCGAACGGATATAATCAAGTGACATGAGTGAGTGATAGATGGTGTAAATTAAATGCCCAGATACTTAATAAATTAATATAATTCAAGAAAGGATGTGAATTGTACAATGATCGTAGGTCAAGTTGCATGAGTAGACAGATTTGTATGAAGAATCTTCAAGCGCCTGATGCGGGTGACGGCAATGTTCTCGCGATGGTGTTTTGGCGTAATATTTGCGCAGGCGTTAAGTCTGAACATTCAGGAATTGCTTGAATCGCAATTCGTAATGAAGATTTGACTGAAGCCGACTTGGACTTGGTTAAGGTGGAGATCGACGTTCTTCACGTAGTAGGGCCGTTGGCATGTACTAGCGGGTCCTACTAATAAGTAGAGATATAGATAATAATGGTAGAGAGAAAACATCAGATAGTTTTGTTTGCTGATGACACGTCCTTGATTTTTAAAATCAAACGACAAATAACAAATTTTGACGATGTGAACAATGCTCTATCTTCGATTGTCCGTTGGTTTAGTATGAATAACCTTCTACTTAATGCAAAAAAGACAAAATGCATTAAATTTTGTGCAAAAAATGCAAGGGTTATGGATACTAGACCAATTATAAACGGTGAGGAATTGAATCTGGATGATGCAACTGTATTTCTCGGAATCACCATGGATTCAAAACTTCACTGGTCCCCTCATATTAACGGATTGTAGAAGAGACTTAGTTCTGCAGCCTACGCGGTTAAAAAAATTCGCTCACTAACTGTTGTCGATACAGCTAAATTTGTTTATTTAAGTTACTTTCATAGCTTAATGACTTATGGCTTATTATTATGGGGTCATGCTGCTGATGTCGAAACTATTTTCATCCTGCAGAAGAGGGCTATTCGTGCAATCTATAATTTAAAATGTAGGGAATCTCTTAGAGATAAATTCAAGGAAATTAATATACTTACCTTTCCCTCGCAATATATTTATGAAAATATTATGTATGTATACAAAAATAGTGATAAGTTTACTAGAATAGAACATACGCACAATGTTAATACACGGAACAAACGCAGGCTGCAATTTCCCCGTACTAGACTATCTAAAGTTAGTAATTCTTTTTTTGGGGAAAGGGATACTCTTCTTTAATAAAATCCCAGAGGCTCTTTTATCTCTGTATTTCAATAAATTTAAGAAATGTATTAAAGAAAAGCTGTGTAAAAAGGCTTACTATAAAGTCAACGATTATCTAGTTGATAAAAAGGCCTGGGACTAGTGCTAGACAGGCTACTTCTAATTAATTTGCGATATTTGTTTTAAAATAAGTGTTGTTTGATGATTTGCTAATTTAAAAGAGTACCGAGAGTTTTCTACGCCGGCTTTTTCTCTCGGCCTACACCCTCTGTCTTCTTTGCCGATGAGTAGGGATGCCTACAAATTGAAATTTAATGACGTGTAATAAGTGATACATGTATCTTATGTTCCATAATAAACATATTTTTTTATTTAAGCAATCTCATTCAGGCAACATCAGGGGGATACAGAGAGACTACTAGGGTACTCGTTGTGTATAGGTTTTTCATTAAACGATAAAGGCGATAATACAAAGATATGAGAGTAATAATCCGTGATAATTAAAAAGATTATTATTAATCGTTGTATAAAAAGACTGTACGAGTGACATTATTTAAAACACAAAATGGCTTTTAAAGTGGGATTAATTGCCTTAACGCTCCTTGTCGGAAGCTTGGGTAAGTTTGTCCGTTTCTGTACATAAAATAGACCTTACATAATATTTTTCTGTTTAACTCCAACTTCCAATAGTGTTACCAATTGTGATCTTCTTTTATGTTGTCTTTGTACCGCGTGCTACTGACGTTCCAAAATCTCCGCCTCGAAATAAAAGATAAACTCGATATGGTTCTTGATATCTCTACATATATAAAATTCTCGTGTCACAATGTTCGTTCTCATACTCCTCCAGAACGGCTCGACCGATTCTTATGAAATTTTTAATGCACATTTAGTAACTCTGAGAACCGGCTACTATCTTATCTATATTTCAAATTCCTAAGTGATAAGGGGGTCCATCCCGAAAAAAATATACTAACCTTTTTTAGTTTTTTTTTTAATTATGTGGCATCAAAAAATACATATAACCCTTAATTTTCACCTCTCTACGATCAATCCTTATTTTTTATTTGTTAATTAAAACTTGAACTCCGAGGTTTATATGGAGAAAAATTCACAGAAAAACCTAAAAAGTTTTCATTCCGGAAAACTGAACATTCTCTGGGGGTAGCTCAGCAAAATGTTCCATGTTGGTATGTACTAGGAAGGTTAAGTAAAATCACATTAAGGAGAAACGAAGTTCGCGTGGGCATCTTGTATTCTTATAAAAGGTTAGGGTAACACTTGATCGTCGTAGATATAATAAAAGCCTCGAACTTGCATCAATTGCAAGTTTCAATATTTGCAATACATGTGCATGTAGTATCACAAATAATTATTTAGAATATGATAGCTGAACTTTCAAATGCGAACTTCTTAAAGGGCCGGCAACACACTCACAAATGTTGAGCAGTGTTAGTATCCAATTCTGCGGTATCTCTCACTGTTTGAAGCTTGACACAGAGAGATATTTTTTTCTCCACTTAAGTTAGTTCCGAGATATTTAGGGAAAAACTTTAAATGAAGTTAAATAAAAATAAAAATCTTATAGTATTATATTTGATTACATAACAACACTTATTTGAAGGTTTAATTAATACTATATATAGTAAGGGTATTGGCAAGACGTAAGCTAATAAGTACATTTATTGCCAAAACTGTATAATGTTTAATAATATCTGCTTTAAACCTTTGCAGCACTACCTGCTAAAGAAGATGACATGTCCATCTTCTTCGACCACACAGACCCCGATGCACGCATTGTCGGTGGAACTGTGGCCGGAACTGTCCCGTGGATGGCGGTGTTAACCAACGGATTGCTAGTCAGAAATTTATTGTGTGGAGCCTCTATCATCACAGACAGACATTTGCTCACAGCCGCCCATTGTATCGATTCAGTATTTAGCTGGGGTAGTTTGAGCAGGTATGTCAAGTTACCTTATATTTAGCTAATGATTACCAGAGTTTAAAAGAAATAATTAATTAGGGTAATATATTATGAAAAAAGAATCCAATTACAATTCGTTTTTAGTTCTCTTCGTGCTACAGTCGGCACAAATCGTTGGAACAGTGGAGGAGTGCAATACGACATCGCTAGGAACATCACCCACCCTAACTACGTCTCCAGAATTATCAAGAACGACATTGGGATACTCATCACCAGAAATGCAATACGCTTTACTAATACTATTTCTCCTGTTACCTTGAGCTTTGATGTGGTCGGCAATGGTGTCGCAACAACTGTCAATGGATGGGGAAGAATACGGGTAATACTTTTCTTCGTAGTTCTGTAGCAACACCTACAATCTGCGGTTACAATCAGCAGTGACATTATGGCGCCATGATATTCCCTGAATCGCACCAAGAAAGTACCCGTGAGGGACATCTCGATATGAGCCACTGGGGGCTTTCTGTCCAGCCAAAGGCTTTGGCCATCCCTTTAGGTTGGAGGAACAGTGAACTTTCCTTTTCATTTACTCATCAAATATACAAAACTTTCCATTTAAATCTAGAGTCTATAAGCTAATAGCAGAATGGTACTCGAATTTCAACTCGACAATCTTCTTTAACAACTTAATTAATGGAAATTTAAATTCAGGCTGGAGGTGCTATATCTGCTCAGCTTCTGGAACTACAAGCCGCCACTATCGATGGTCTCGTCTGTATGATTGAAGTTCCACGGGTCGCTACCGAGATTAACTTCCCATCGCGTCCACCACCCGTGGAACCCCACATTGAAATCTGTACCCACCACTCTGTCGGTCATGGTACTTGCAACGTAAGTTTTTTATTGCAAACAAAGCTGAATATATACCTACCAATACTTTCGATATATTATGGTTCATTGTACCTATATCTTTACATATCATAGTTTAGCATTGTTGAAAGTAGTAGTAGCAAATGGTGAAATAATATTTGTTTCTTGTCAACTGGTCTACGTTTAGAATTTTATAGGTTTAATGAAAAGCACTTTTCGATCGATACGGATAAGTGGAAAGTCTTAGTCTGTAATAAAACTGTTATTGGTACAGCGTACAGTAAAAATATTATTCCTAAATCTAATTAATCTAGAGTTTTTTTGCAGGGTGACTCCGGCAGTCCACTTCTAAGGAGCGACACCAGAGAACAGATAGGTCTCGTGTCTTGGGGAATTCCATGCGCACACGGTGCACCAGACATGTTTGTAAGGATCAGTGCATACAAAGCCTGGCTCGAATCTTCCATTCTGTAATATAAACAATAGGAAATAAAGATTGGGATACACTTAAGATAAACTTTATTTCATTCCCATTTAGCCTCAACATTTATGCTTAATTTTATAATATTTGGAAAGGTCGGAGGACTTTAAGAAAACAAAAGATATTATTAGGTCTACTAGATAATAGATAGCCAAGATTAATGTATAAGAAGATATTCCATACTGGTACACCACCAGCAATACATATACCTATTATGGTAGACGTAGACGAAAAAAAAAAACTAAAATAATATACATTGAAAAATAAAAATAACTAACCTTAACATAAACTAAAATATATCATTAAAAGGAGTCCCTTTAGGCAAGGTTCCGAAGATACTGGCAGCGTTCCCCCTTTGAATCGCTAGACTAATTCTTTGTCCGAGGTAGCTGCCAGATCTTCGGTCTCCTGTGATGTCGACAGCTATATTCTTTTCAGTAGATGAATTCTTTCTATACTGTGAATACTGGGTAAAATCTTTGGTCATAGTCTAAAATCTAAATAACCAAATTATGCATATGATTATTAATTTAATGAGTGTGTGATAAAATAATTCTCTGAGAACATTGTATTTCCTGAGATATGAAATATTTGGTACGCTTATTACAAACATCAACCATGGTGTATGTTTGTAAATAGACACAGAAAGAACTGCAACACTTTTAATGTAGTGTTATCATGGGACGGTTAAACAGTAAATAATTTTTAAAAAGTTTTTGTGGTGCAAACTAAAAACTTTGATCACACAAACCCCGACGCTCGCATCGTCGGTGGAACCGAGGCTGGCACTGTTCCATGAATCACTGGATCACTGAAAACCGGTATATTACTCGGGAGTCTTTTGTGTGGGGCCTCTATAATCACGGACAAACATCTACTCACAGCAGCCCATCGTATTGATGATTCATTCATTCTTTTATTTATTTATTAACACCTTATTGCATTACATATAAAAATTGAACATAATTAAATGAAAAGGAGGGCAACTGGCGGCCTTATCGCTTTCGAGCGATCTCTTCCAGGCAACCTGTGGGAAAAAATTTTAATAAGATAAGGTGTGCAGCAATACATAATTCACATAGTTCTAGACAAAAATAAAATAGGAACAAAAAACATTAACTAAAAAACTAAGCTTTTCTTATGGTTTGGAACTGAGAAGAACTTGGGGCGCTTTTGTTGATTTTCGGAAGAAAAACGTTAAATGTATGGAATTAGAATTTCCTCGCAACACCCTATTTGACGAACGATTTGAATCGGATTTGTATGAACTGTGAGATATTTTTAACAGTAAGGATGAAAATCAACGAAAATCGTGCATACATTTTGGCTGCGAGAAAGACAAAAGTGCATAGAACACATTATTGACGTTATAATGATTGCATAAACCTATTACAATCGGCACGAGGTCCGATAAAATCAACAATTACCCGATAAAATGTTTACTTTTCTGATAATAATTATTTATCTTCTTACATATAAAAGGCATTACGCTAAGAAAGTAATTAAAACAAAAATGGCATTAAAACTGGGTTTTTTTGTCTTAACGCTCCTTGTTGGAAGCTTGGGTAAGTTTAAATGTGAACAAACGAAACCGAAATGCCAAATACTAAGCAGAATTTTATAGGAACGTCCCTTTATTTTTACTTTTTAAACCTGTATTTAATGTTAATTGATATTTAAAATTGAGGTATTTTTATTATAACATATTAAAATATGTTATATCATAGAGGTTTAAAAAATATTCTTGGAGAAATACTTGTTAAATATATTCTTAAGATACTGTTAAATTAAAGTTAAAGTAGGTATTTAAAATAGACCAGACAGTGTAATAGCGATTCCATCGTTATAAAATTATGCCTTTTCAGCAAAACCCATTGAAGAAGATGACATGTCCATATTCTTCGACCACACAAACCCCGAAGCCCGAATAGTTGGAGGTGCAGAAGCGGGACTAGTTCCTTGGATGACTGCCCTATCCAACGGCGCATTGATCAGGAACTTTGTGTGTGGGGCCTCTCTTATCACTAACAGACATTTCCTTACAGCGGCCCATTGTATTCGAGCAGTTTACAGTGGGAGTTTGAGCAGGTTGGTAGTTAATTAGAGATTAATGCTATGTTTTAGTATTCAAACATAGACGCCATTAGCAACCGGATATATTTTTCTGAAGATTTCCCGAAAATTTCCGTTTGAAACATGAAGATTTTTTTCGATAATTGAACCTAAGTAGTTTCATCAGTAGGAAAGTGAAAAAAGTATTTCAGTGTGTCCATAGTGAGAGACGTTTATCAGGCTTGCATTATGAGTGACTATAAGTTATAGATTTGTGTGTTATTTGTTAAAGTACTTGTATTTATCATTCATTGTCGTTTCAATGTACTTATTATTTTATCTTGTATTCTTTTTTGGTGTTGTGTAACTGTAATCGGTGCAAATATTAATTATAGGTATATAAATGCTTCTGTGTAAAAAAATAACAGAAATACAGGTTCTATAACCATAATATCATAGTACTGTATAGTATATAGGTACAAATTATCGGAATACGTAATCTTTGAATTTATTGTATGTAAAGAAAAAGGTGTCACGAAAATGGGATATAACGTTGGACAATTTTATGTGCAGAAACCTCCGTGCTACAGTAGGAACTAACCGATGGATGTATGGCGGAGTCCATTACAATATTGCCAGAAATATCACCCACCAGCACTACGTCCACGCGGATATTAAAAACGATATAGGAATACTGGTCTCGGCCAGTACTATTCGTTTCACCAATGCTATCGCTCCAGCCGTACTCAACTACAATAATGTTGGCGCTGGAGTTGCTGTTACTGTCAATGGATGGGGACACAGAAGGGTAGGCTTAGTTTGAAAATGTTGTCCTTGTCTTTTTTTTTTAAATATTTTTACCAACATCAGTAGCCAGACCACATAGATTTTATTAATTCATGTTTATATCCATTAAAAGTTTTAAAGTTCTTAAACAGAAGAGAACCTTTAACCTTCTAAAAAACATTTGTTTTTCAGTTTAACGGTGCCGTCTCTGGAACGCTGATAGAACTTCAAACAAGAACTGTCGATGGTGAGTTCTGTAAGACGGAAGTACCTCGCGTCGGCCAACAGTTTAACATTCGAGCGCCCTCTGTCGACCCACGTTTGGAAATCTGTGCACTGCATTCTGTTAACCAAGGAACTTGTAACGTAAGATTTAACTTTTACCCACGACTAAGGTTTCACAATGTATGGATAAAGTACCAAATAGCAACACATAAATTATTTGGAAGATGAATTGTGCTATTTGACATTCATCGGACTCATAACTTATGATGGACTTTATGTAACGAATAGCGCTATTTGTCAGTCGTGGAACGCAACAATAGTGTTTATCCTACCAATAAGTAATTAATAGCTAATTTGGAACTTATGTAGAACTTATCCGTGCATTGTGAAACAGACTCTTATTATGTTTAAATGTAGTGAATCGTATGTAGTATAATTAAGGCAGAACTGATGATTCTCTCAAGGAAGTTGTCTGAAATTATCATCTATTGTTATAGGTATATATATATCCGTTCACAAGACATTGTCAACGCATAATCCAACATTTATGACTGTCTAATAAGAGAGTACAATAATACTACAGTCTACAAGGACGTTAAATTAGGAATAAACTGAAGTCAACAGAATGATTAAAACAAATAATATAAATTCTTGATTTTCAGGGTGATTCTGGCAGTGCGCTTGTAAGGAGTGACAACAAACAGCAGATCGGTATCGTGTCTTGGGGCATTCCCTGCGCTCGCGGCGCTCCAGACATGTTTACCAGAATCAGCGCATATAGAAGCTGGATCGAACGCGCTATACGATAGATAATTGTTTTTTTCAATACAAATGAATGCCAATACTTAGTTGTTTCTTTCATGTTCCTATTAAAAACCAGAAGATATATTTATCTCATCATAATAAAATCAAGCCAAAATAGCAAAATCAGATTACAATATTATTTTGTTGTTATCATATAATTATTTATAATTGATGACAACAATCACCTAGATAAGAATTTTGATAAATAATTATAATATAATTCGTGATTATAAATGCAAAAGTGATTACATATTTTAGTTTTCGAAGTGATTCATTGAATAATGGCCTTCGTCGCCATTATATTTGTTAGTTTAGTATTGGGAAGTTTTGGTAAGTTTTTAAAAGCAAAACCAGTTTGCACAATAATTAATTATAAAGATCCGTGCGACCGGATATCTTTATTTCATAGGTAATTATATTAAATGATATATTTGTTTAAATTTATCCTTCACAAAAAATTGCAGGCTTTCCGTCACAAGATGATCTATCTTCCTACTTCTCTGGTAGAATAGTGGGAGGTGATAGTGCCGCAGAAGGCAGCGTTCCCTACATGGTTGCTTTAGTTCACGGGCTGATGGTAGCCACCTTCCAATGTGGTGGTTCTCTCATTACAAAGAGACATGTTTTGTCAGCAGCACATTGCTTTGACCGACTGTACACGGGAGGAGAGTTGACACCGTAAGCTTCTTAAAAAATCTCTGAAGTTCAGGCTTTAGATTATCCGTAGTTATCGGATTTAAATACAAGAGAACTAACAGCTGTCTAATATGTCCTAAATATATTGCACAACTGTACGTTTATAAAAAATCGTCTCCATCCATAATATTCTGATAATATTCAATCCTTATCATCGACCAGATTAATTATAATTAATGTAGATTTTCTGTTACTTTATATTTTCTTAGTATTTTTTAACATAATACCTACCTAACTACTAACTGCTTTTTGGATGTCATCTTATATTTAAAAAAAAACAGATTTAATAGTTATGGTTTTTAACCCAACCTGGTTGATTCTACTTAGATACGGTACAAAATTAAGACTTGAACTAAAATTAGTCTATGAAAAATTATTGTTGACTTTGGATTTAATATCATTTATTATAATTTCATAGCGAGATTAACTGTGATCAGAGTAACAGATATATCGAACTCGGCGTTTCTTAAAGTAGTTTTTGCCCTGCCCTGCGATTCTGTAACTCACTTTTCGAACTCACACAGCGGTTTTCGCACCCGGTTTTTCCACCTTTTCAGAATGCCAAATCATAAAATGACTGCTTCACGACTGATTTGAGAGCGACCGCCGATGCGAAAACCGCTGTGTGAGTTCGAAAAGTGAGTTACAGAATCGCAGGGCTGCACCTCCACTATATGGAACCAGCTTCCCGCTGAAATACTTCGGAACGAATTCGACTTAGGGTCCTTCAAGAAAAGAGCGTATCAATTCTTAAAAGGCCTTCGACGCACTTGCCGAGCGAGCGAAAAAACTCAACATTTATCTTTTATAACATTTGTTATACTCGTAAACAATCTACTTAAGTATATAAAATATTAATTTCAGAACACTCCGTGTTATAGTCGGCACGAATAGTTGGAACGTTGGGGGCGATGCATACCGCGTGCAACGTAATATTACTCATCCCAAACACATCTACATTCGGGATCCATTAAATGTGGAATACGATATTGGCTTATTAGTAACCACCACTGAAATAGTATTGTCAGATAGAGTGAAATTGGTGCCGGTTAGTCTGGATCATGTTGGATCGGGCGTGAGAGGCAGAGTTGCTGGATGGGGACGGATTTACGTAAGTAATTTAATGTTTATTTAAAATAAAATAAAACTCGTCAAAATTTTTGTGAAACTTCTTTAGTCGTATGAGAGTACAATTTTTACGGAACGACACGAAGGTGTGCAGCGTTTTTGTCGAAGAAAAGAGAGAGAGAGCGATTGAGATCGATACATATTAATATCATCATTATTTTATTAAGTAACTAAATTACCATTTTTTGTTGATTTTGTATTTTTATAAGGGCACAGAACCAAGCCCTTTTTTGCTAAGACCCCGTTGGCTATTTAAGAAAATGTGAACATAAGTTAGCAATTATGATAATAATAAATTTATTATATTATTTGGTCATTGTTACCATATTAATAGTAGTATTTCTATATACATAACAACAACTAATTTTAGTTCTGGTTTTTAATTAGCCTATCATTTATTGATATAGAAAGACTAGCAAAATTAAATTATGGGATTTGGGCAGCTTAATTACTCAATAATTAATTTACAAAGAAGTTTCACTTCTGACATGTGCACTTTGTACGCACGTACGTTTTTATACGTTAATCGTCTATAGAGCTTAAAATACGTGGATTCACGTTTGGTCTAGTGACCTTTATCATATAAAATACGCACGTAAAAAAACCACGATTGTTTGTCATTGGCTGGATTTTTTTTTTTGTATGTATATACTCTATTTCCCAGCATCAAGGACCCTTATCTCCCAGTCTTCAAGAGCTGTACGTAACCACATTAGAGGATGGGAGATGTGATAAAGAGTTACGCCAGGCATCTGTCGACTCCGGTATGATACTACCAGAGTACGACCCTGCGACTGAGTTTTGTGTCTTCCATTCTATTCAACATGGCGTGTGTAATGTAAGTACCATGTCGTGTTTCTTTAGTTCTAGATGAAGGTTTTTGTTGCTTTGATCGCCGTAAGTGCCGCAATAGAGATTAAACTTACCCATAAATAATGATACAGAAATAAGTATTTCTTTATAAAATATTTAAGAGGAAATTCAGATTATTTATGAGTAAGGTTGCGTCCCCAGTTGGCAAACTGTTTGCCGCTGAGTTATCGGCGTATCGGTTTAGTATGCCCTTCCATATATATACTTGTTTGCTAGTTTTGCACTCAATCTACGCAATTTGAAGAGTTAAGCCGATCGTCCACCGCCAACTAAACTAAGTTAGTTTAGCTTAGCTCGCATAGTTGACCCAGTTTTTCATACAAACTATTCCAGCTAAGTTAGGTAAAATAGCCAAGCTAAGTCGAACTAACTTAGTTGTGTAGACCGATCTGTAACTACTTGAGCTAAACTAAGCTCGTCTCACTCCCTTGCCTTACCCCTCTGACGCCTGCCGCTAGTGTTATCGAAAGTGTTCGTGTGTACTTTTCGATAATTAGTATCAATCTTAGCGATGTCCTTGGCAAGCATTGTAATTAACTCATCAAACTGTTCTCTAGATATACGATAGTAATTTCCTCGTCTAGTTCCTTAAACAAAGTGTTGAATTCGCTACTTATTTTCCAGGATTTAATGTGTTTACTTATCCAGTATGTTTGCGTTTTATCTTTATAAAATGAGCAAAAATCAACCTTCTGTTCCGATGACGATTGTATTCCTCCTCTTAACTCTCGTAGGCTCGTCTCTTCTTCAATCACGTCCGGTTAACTCAAGGTTCTAGCACAAACTGTCCATCACACATAGTAAAAGCTTATTTTTTTGGTAGACGGATAACTTTAGTTTAGTTGGCGGTGGAAGATCGGCTTTACGCGCGCCGACTATATCAGTGGGCGGGGAACAGTTTGCCTACTGAGGACGCAGCCTAAAATATATCAACAAAACGCCTGACTTATTTTAAAACGAAGACAATGCATTAAAAGAAGTTAAAACCTTTTTTTTGTTTATATCAAAAACATAAGAGGTACAGGTAAATCTTATTAGTGAATAAACTTTCAGGGTGACTCTGGCAGTGCTCTGGTACGAGTGGACACAGGTGAACAGTTTGGTATCGTTTCGTGGGGATTGCCGTGCGCACGCGGCGCTCCAGACGTATTCGTGAGAATTAGCGGGTTTAAGGACTGGCTCGAGGAGAATTTAGTGTTGTAATATTTATAATTGGAATGGAAATAAATTAATTCCTGTCAATATTATTTCGACTCATATTTACTTGCATAACATAACATAACTAGTGCGATAAGAAAACATAAATAATCAGAGTAAAGAAAAAACTTTTAAACCGGATTAAAGTTATGTATTATTATAAATTTACAATTATTTAACCACCGTGACCACGCACGCTGTAAAGCACGCGAAACGTCGGATAAATTTAAAATTATGTTAAATAATTGTACATTTATAATAATACATAACTTTAATCCGGTAAAAAGTTTTTTCTTTAAATGTGTAAAGGTTATGTCAATAAAAGACAGTACTATAATCAGAGTAATCTCTTTTAATAGCTGTTGTACGTTTAGGGTGCCATATGGACAGCTATTAGCTGGCACCCTCAACCATATACAGGTGTAAGAGTACGCACATGGGGCCATAAAAAAAAAACAAAATTATAGACTGATTTGGTCCGTAGTAGATCTGCCATTGTTTGCTTTGCACAAATAGTTTCGAAGGGTAGGAAATTAAATTCTTGCAAGAACACAATCATATATTTACAATATAATCTAGGAAAGAGTAACAATTACTAGTACCGATCTCCAACACGGCAAATCATTTATTTAATAATTGTTTTTAAGACTAAATTGTACAACAATATTGTAGTTTGTAAACGCATTATTCTACACATTGACATATTTACACCATATAACAACGGTATAGTTCACCCGCGACGGGTATCCGTCACCCGCACCACCTACAGCCGATGCACACATCACTGGGTATTAGCCACCCTAATAGTTAAATATATTTAACACCAGTCGTGGACGCAATCCTCCCGACAGCGTGACCGCGTGACGTAGCCACCGGCCAAGGACCTCAATCACCGGACCAGCTCCAGCACCTGCAATGTTAAACTATTGAATTACCTATAAACGCCTCTCAACTTAAGAGACCTATTAAACATTTAAATATTTCTTTACCGATAAACCAAACAAATTGTAACCTATTGGCAGACATATTTTTTATTTTCAAAGACAAAGGCAAGACTTGCTTATTATTTAACGACGATGGCGTATAAACCGGACGTCCAGGTTTGACTCCCAGCAAAACGAGCCGCTAAACCTCAGAGGAGGTTAGATTGAGAGAGAGTGAGAAGGACGAATTACCTTAATTTCGTAAAGACAATTTATGAAATATTAGTAGTATTTTATGCAAAATAATTTATTCAAAACTCAAATGACGTTTTGTAAATTAAAATGCAACGTGTTTTTATTATCGAACAAATAAATTTATAATTTGTATCATTTTTTGAAATTTTTAATATTTTAATGACAATTAAATTCCTAACGTATCTTCCTTAAGTGTCGGAAATCTAAAGTTTTAGATTTGTAAAAGAAAAGAAAAGTGAAGAAGACTTAAAAATTAGTTAGCCAAAGAATTTTCACTTCTGTCATGTGTACTCTGTACGCACGCAATTTTTTAAGTTATACTTCTTTAGGCGCGTTATGAAAAACTGATGAGAGTGAAATTTTACGATGCGCGCGCACCGTGACACAAAATTAACAGAATGAAGTTGCCCACGGAAGATGCTACGGCATTGGACACAATTTAAAAACAACATTCGAATAATAATAGAATTTATGTTACACTTAATGTAAGAGAATAATAATAAATATTTATTTAATTTTTCAAATGTAAACTAAACTTTATTGACTATAATGACTCCTTTTCCAGTCTTTGATTATTTAATTGTAATTAATTATTTGCATGCAATCAAAAACTATTTTTAATAATGCCAAAGAAGTATAACTTCTTACGCGCGTTCATAAGCACACGCACCCGTTTTTTTTTCTCTTACCTTGCTCGCCGCAACACCACTGAGAGAAGCCTTCTCGCACATAACCAGTCCCAATTCCGAGGTATCGAACCCGCTATCGCCCAGAAGATTGCGCCGCAACTCGTGGTAGACTAGGAACGACGCCAGGATCCGCTTGATGTCATCGTGGCAGCTGTTTATCGAGCGACTGCTTGGCATTCCTGGAATATTTCAAAAACTTAATTATCAAATATAGTAAATTAAATTATTGCTTAAAATTCGGAATTTTAGGAATAAACCGATTTCAGCGGTGTAGGTCCGGTCAAGTCTTGCATTTTAGGAAAACAATATAAAGAAAATAAATACAGAAATATAAGGCTTGTAATTAACATTGTTTTTTTGAACAATTTGAAATACAAAGGTCACAATATATGATGTCAAAAATTGTAGGATTTTTTTGAAAAGCGTACCTGGTACCTAATGCGGAATGTTAACCAAAAAATTAATAGTAAAAAGCTAAAATTGGAAATGTAATTTTTTTTTAAATTTATGTTCACCGTAATTGTTATATGTATATTATATAATAGACAGATTGTAACATATACTGATACTGAGATGCATTATATATTATATAGTGTACTTTGATAAATAAACCAATTTAGACACAAAAAATCCACCAGAGAAATCTGAATCCAGTTACTTAATTAAACATTTTGTGTTAGCTACGACGAAATCATCCAAGATTTAAAGTTAATTCTAGTATTTATACGGGTATGTTGAAACACTTATAACTCGAGAACAGCTAGACCACTTTTCATGATCTTGATTTGTTGTATTGGTCTTTGTCCAAACAATACAAAAAAAAAAGAAAATTGTATTCTATTAGATGTTTCAACACAAAATGTTCAATGTCAACCTGAGTTGTGTAACTGTCATGTAAGGCGGTATTGGTATGTTATCTAAAGCTGGCGGCTTCAACACATTTACACTTTGTGCTTGTGTAGTGTCTGTGAATAAGCGCGAGGCGTGATGTCACACTGAATAATCAATATGCACCATGAAAAGACTGTCCGTCTCTCTCGCGCTCGGTCAAGCTTATGAGTATAAAAGAGACAGTTATTGTTTTGCTTTTGCTACTGTTTATGTTGATCTTTACTTTATATACATGTTGATCTTTTTTCAAACATTACCAGGACAATCTCGTGAAATGGTGCACAATGTTTTTAATTATTTTAAGCATCTTAATAAAAACAGTTTAATGAAAAAAATGTTATATTTCATTTGACATCAGATGTGACTGGGGTTTCTAAGAGGAGTATTGAAAGAATTGTTAGTGAAGTAAAAGTGAAGTGTGTTGAGCTAGATGGAGTTTATGTCGAAAAATGAAAAATTATTTACACAAACTACTCTTTTACTTTCTTGGTCGGGCTTAGAACTTTTGGATCCACCCTCGCACATAATATTTATATGAATTTGACACATTTTTATTTATTTTACAACCCACCCAACCTTACTAAAACCAGAGTAGACTAAAATATATAGCTTGGCAAAAAGGTCATATTTTTAAACATACTGTATAGTGAGTACTGTTAACGCGCCAGCTTTCGATAACCGAGCTGTATGAAGTATCCAGCTAATTATGAATAAAACTAGAAACCCCACCCAAATACTTCCTGAGGAAGGGCACGATCTTCAGCTCCCACTTGTCGAACACCAGCGCGATCTTCTGCTTCACGGCCAGCGTGAACTCGGTCGATATCAGCGGCTCGTTTTCGTTGTCGTCGACGTCCATCTCGTCCGAGCTCCTTCGGGAGAGGGATTCCACTTGGGCCAGCAGCAGCTTTATCTGCCACATGTGGTAGGAGCTGGGCTCCGTGCGCATCAGTTTTATTATCTGCGGAAATATTTCGTTTACAGTCAACCGAACACTAGTCTGTGCGGAGAGAGAACCGGCGCATCATTTATTCACAAAAAATATATTTTATATATTAGGAATCAAGATTGCTTTCGAACTACATATAATGACGTAACAGTGTTGTCAATATAACAAAAAAAGGTAATTTAACGCTCAAGCGAAATGGGTCTTTTGGAATTTTTTTCGGAGATTATTGACCTTCCCCCAATGTTACGCGCCGTAACCATTAGTAAAACTTTTCGTGACCACCTAGTGACTCTTTATACCTAAATGTTATCATTATGTAAAGTACTGAAAGAAAGTCGAAAAATAATATTAACAATAAGGAATTCAATCCCCCGCCCCCCACCTAAAAGTTTTAAATATTTCAAATCTTCGTCAATATAAAATATAATGAACTCTTTGGATAAAAAACACCTATTTTAAAAAAATACTGTAATAGTGTTGTAAATAAGTTTAAATACAATTAAGTTTTATTACAAAAATTTTGTTGCAATTGTGTCTGGAGGGGTAGCTCAAAATTGAAAAACCCCCCCCCTCCTATTGTTGCTCTTGTATTCGCAGCCAGAGTAAATAAATAAAAGCAGTCTTACCTTCAAAAAACTCGTCCAAATGGGCAGAGCCCGCAGCACGTCCTTGACCACACACTCGTAGGTGACCACGTTCAGGCTCTGGATGAACTCCTGCTCCTCCTTGCTGTACTTTCGGCACACGCAGGTCCTGTTCATCTCTTTGCCGCCTCTCTTCTTCTTCAAGACGAGGCAGTCTCCGCAAATGTTCGTGCCGACTTCGGCGTCGTCCTGCGCCAGGTAATGGCGGATGAAGCCCCGCACTTGTCGGTCGCTGCTGAAGAGGTCGATGTTGTCCGGCTTCGCAGACCAGATGTTGGTCTGGTCCAGCGTGAGGGTGTGGCCCAACATGGTGGTGAAGCCTTCCGGGTCCTTGCTGTAGGGCAAGCAGCCGGCTCGCTGCTTTATATCTACACACCATGTGTATTCGAGGAATGTTCTGGAATCACAATGGTTCCACTTTCAAATAAATGTCCAAAGAGACAATGCAAAAGAATTATTGTTTAGCCATAGAAACAAAATTAAAAATTGCAACAGGTGTAAACGTTAATGATCAAAATCCTCTCTTTTCCAAGATCAGTTAAAGCCGTAAAATGATTAACTTTATTTTTTAATCTAAGGGCGATAATAAAATAAATTCTCACTTGAGTTGGTCCCAATTCCGGTCTCTCTCGAAGAGAATTGGCCAATATCTGGTGTCATCTATCTTCACCACCTTCAACTGGTTCAATTCCGGTATGATGCAGGGGGCTTTGTATTCTCTCAGGTAATTATCCACGTCAATCACCTGAAAAAAGAAAATAATTAGCGTATGCTGTGTAAAATAAAATCCAAAAAATGGTGTTTTTAAATCAATGTCTACAATAGGACTGTAAAAACAAGTTTTTGGAGTAACCTGTTTTGTGATATAAAATTTTGCGAAAGGGCAACACTAAACAGCTTTTTGTAATCTTCAATCCTTGCCAATTTCGACTCAGTAGTGCCTGAAAATAGGCCTAAGGTATAAATGATTCACTTTAATGTTAGCATGTATAAAATTCATGATTGTACTATTGCCCGTGCGTCCATTGCCTTCCCCTAACCCCTTGCGACTATTTTACTAAGTATAGTAAGTCTTGTGAGACGAGACGTACATAGAATTTTAGAATAAAAAAAATGAAGTAAACCAAATGCTTTTATAAAATATTGACTTTGAAAATGCATTTTAATAGAATAGCTGATAGCACTCCTTGCCAAACTATGTGCTGATTTCAATGAACTGTAGAGCGTGAGCGAATTTTACTCACGACCGCAATAAAAACGAAATAACCGCAAGTTCTAGTTCTAGTGACTAGAAAAACATAACGTATTTGCCTAAAGTCAGTCTTGTGAGATACAGTGACGGATCGATATGTATTGTTTTTAATATCCAACACGAAATCAAACTAGATGACTATTTACTAAATTTTACCCCGCTAATTATGCTACCTATTTAAGATTTAAATCAACCGAATCCATCTTGGCTGAAGAAATTTACCATGATTGAATGAAAAACAAAGATTCACGGAAAAAGTCTAGAGGTGCACCTGTCTGTTTTTACGGCCAGGACGTATAGATGTCGTGAAATTTATAGTTGATATCTGAAAATTTTTTTAATTCAAAAGTTAGCCATTGAAATTACAGCATGAAAGATTCAATAAGATTTTAAGCGATATTGTTTTTAATTCATAATAAGGCTATTTATAAAATCAAATTCTACCGATCTGTTTTACATCTAGCCGTTCTAAGCAAGCGTGTATGGTGAATCGAACGGAATTCCTGTATGAATGAGGTTAGTAAAGATTCCCGGAATCTATGCTCCTTTTCCCCAGGGCAGCACCAGTCTGCTCTACGGCAGGACAAACAGATGTTTTGAATATCTTGTAGGTTATTATCTAAGATAACATTTTTATTATTTCAATAAATAAGCTAATTTTACAGCTTACAAGCATAGAACAAAAATTGGCGAAAAAGATTGCTAAGCGTCCATTGCTCGTGCTTATCTATCCATTACTAATAAGCCTATTTGAGAACTGGGAGTAAATGTAAAATTACAAGCATTTCATATATATTTCTTTTTTGACGTCCAAAAGTGTACATTTTGTTACCTAAATGAGTAAAAGATTTACAAAAAAATATATAAATATATTTCAGCAAGAATCAATATTAAAAATGTTGTTTTTGATATAAAAAATTAAATATTATAATTTTTATCCATACACCTGTTCAGCCGATTTGCAGCTTTCGCAGAATAAATGGAAAAGCTTAAATTGTACAGAAATTACCTATTATCTTCAGTGTGAGTAGGAAACTTGGGGAAGAAAGCGATCAACAAAGCGGCCACCGCTTCGGGCGTACTGGCGAGGGTCGCTCTGCCACCGCCGAGGAATAGCAGCCCCAGGGTCATGTGAACGGCCATCTAGAATTTAAGCGGATTCCGGAGTAGCATCAGCAGCAAGTGAGAAAGTCAACTCTGCCACTTTTGTAAAATTTAGTTCAAGTGTTATTTAAGCATTAAACTCTATTTTACCTGAGCGCCGTGCGTGAGTGGGGCGTGGGCTTTAGGACGAGAGGGCGCCGGTCCCCGAGAGGCCGCTGTGCGCGCGCGCAGTCTTCGACACAGACGCATCACTTCGAGGTCTCCGCGACCGGCCATTATCTGCAATTAATTATATCCTATATCTTATATTTTTTAAATTAGGTGACTCAAAACTATATAAAGTTGGCGCAATTTTCAAAAAACACACAATTTTTTTTTACAAACTTAATAATTTTAGCATTTGTTAATGTATAATTTAGTTGTAAAGAAGAAATAGGCTCACGCAGCCGGCGGCGAGCAGACAGACGCAGCTGCAGGTCTCCAAGGTGGCGGCTCCGGCCAGCTCCGGCAGACGTCTGGGGGGCGAGGCCAGGCGGTTGGCGTAGTACAGGACCGTTTCTTTGGCGATTTCGTTCCCGGAGCCCGCGAAGCGCAGCCCGAGGGCGAAGCACGCTCCCGCTACTATGTTGCAGTAGGCTTGGCTGGAAGATTTTATCTTGTAACATGGGGCGGTAGACGAATTCACGGGTCGGTTATAAAAACAAACTATCGCGGCCCACGAAAACGAATACTTGAAAGGTTGCGTCGCCGACCTATGATTATATAATAATAATAAAAGCCCTTTATTCACTGACCTTTAAACTTACATGCTACTCTTACTTAACAGTAGTATCTTAAATCTAATTTACATAGCGAAAATAATAATTTATTAGCAAATCGACTACACTAATATTCTTTATAGGTACCATAAGTGCCAATAGAGATTTCGAACCCTTAAATAAGCCAAGTTAGTTTTATTAGCGAAGCAACCCCACTACCCCTAATTTTATGTTAAAAGCTGATGTTTTAAATTGAAGTCCAACAACCGCTACCGAACTTACGCCACATTATTTTATGAAATTAACGAAATATTCTAATTTTTTTTAAAGATTAAACGGTCAACTGAAGCCACTCACTTCATAGCCTCGTAGTCAACATTTGCCTCAGTGGGTTTGACGAAGCAGTACGGCCTGATGGTGTCGGGGACCTGATCTTCCACCCAATCCTCCATGGGGCTGATACTGTCCCACAGCACCAGACCTGAAGTAAATACGTATTTTGTTATGCTTAAGCGGATGAGCAGAAAGTTAAAAAAAATGTGTGCGTACAAAATACACGTCAGAAGTGAAACTTTTTTGGCAAACTTATTTTCTTAATAATATAAATCTAAAAGTTTAAATTTCCGAGATTAAGAGGGAGGGAAAAAGGAAACATCTTAGATATTTAATTGTCATTAAAATATTAAGTGTCAAAAATTAATATATAAAATAATTTTTTTTTAAATTTATTTCTTCAATATTAAAAACATGGCATTTTAATTTACAATTCATCATTTGAGATTTGAATAAATTATTTTGCATAGAATATAAAATACTACTAATATTTCATAAATTCTCTTTACGAAATTTCTATAAGGTATTCGCCCTTCTTACTCTCTCTCAATCGGTTTCAATCGCTCTCTCTTTTCTTCGACCAAAACGCTGCACATCTTCGTGACGCTAAAAATGTTACCCTCATGCGCCTAAAGAAGTTTCCCTTCAAAAGTTACCTCTGGCGATAATCCTCAACATGAGCAGATCCGGTCTGACGAAATCCAGCATGTAGGCGGTCGTGGGGGGCTCCAACCACTCGGCCACGGCGGCGTTGTTCGTCTGCATGTAGATGAGGCCCAGCGCCAGAGTGGCTCCCGGGGAGGTCACGTCCAGGTTCACCGTCGACCCTTCGCGAATGGCGAACGACCCTTGCTTGTATTTCTCTTTTTGGGATCCTGAAATTATATTATGATTACTGGAACATATCAACCAACCAACCTAGCATTATGATTTACTTTAAAAAAATATATTTTTTCTTGAATTCATAAGTGAGGTAAAAAATAAAGAATACATAATTAATAAAAAAAAAATAAGGTGGTGGTGATGATGATAAAAGCAGATGTCACAATAAAAATAAACAAGCAAGGAAGTACTAAACTGGTGCCCAAGGTACAATAAATGAAAAAGAGAAAGAGAATTTAGAATGTCGATAGACCCACTTAAGGAAGCAGCAAGTGATGCATGGCAGAGACTGATGACCTACGCTGTATTTTTCATAGTAAAAAAACCGCATCGCATTGGATCGATTCTTGGAGAAAGGAACACCTGCAGCACATCATCTCTTTAAGCCAGCAGCGCAACATGAGGTGTGTGAAATCCTTCCTCTCTTACTCTTATTCTTTCAATAATATTCCATAGCACTAAGATCTCCCTTCTACCGTGTAACAACCAACACTTCACGCCTCGCATACAGTCTACTCTCGCTTCAATTATACGTAAAAAAAATGTCTATTATGGAATATAAGATACAGGTATCACTTATTCCACGTCATTAAATACGAGTATGAATGGGTAGACATCCCCACTCATCGGCAAAGAAGACAGAGGGTGTAGGCCGAGAGAAAAAGCCGGCGTAAAAAACTCTCGGTACTCTTTTAAAACAGCAAATCATCAAACAACACTTATTTAAAACAAATATCGCAAATTAATTAGAAGTAGCCTGTCTAGCTCCTGTCTAGGCCCTTTTATCAACTAGATAATCGTTAACTTTATAGTAAGCCTTTTTACACAGCTTTTCTTTAATACATTTCTTAAATTTATTAAAAGGCAGAGACGAGCCTCTGGGATTTTATTAAAGAAAAGTATCTATTTTCCCAAAAAAGAATTACTAACTTTAGATAGTCTAGTACGGGGAAATAGCCAGCCTAGCCTATTTATCTCACATGACGTCACAGCGGCACATATTTAGATTACGCTTTATTTCTAATTCTTTCGATCTAGGGTTGCTCCGCCACACCACCATTAAAAGAAATTAAACAACTTCCAAATAATATTTGGAACTGAAGGTAATCTATGGTTAACACAAGTTTTATGTTTAAATAAAACTTTATCTTTTAGATTATTTACTTAATTCACCGAAGTTTTGAAAACAACAATTACTATTACGCAATACATGACTTCAGGCATTGGGCCAATAATGTTTCTAAAAGTGAAATTAAAATTGTTCATATCAAAGAATGATTACCATTAAACCCTCGCCGGTCCCCTCCCAGCATATAGGTCCTGAGCGCCGGAGCCAGGTCTCCCAATTGTGGACTGTCTCCGGCTCTCAAGCAGACGCAGCCCAGGGCCAGTCCGGCAGCCAGAGCGTAGCCTTCGCGTTCGACGCAGTTCTCCATTTCGGGACCTGGCGGTTTGCCTGAAATGGGTTCTTTATGTATAAATGTTGGCTAACCTAAAAGTAAAGTTAAACAAAATGTTTTATTATTATTGCTTCACTGGGAATCAAACCTAGGAGCAAAAAATAATAATAAGGTTAGTCAGATTGAACAGTTTTCTGAGAGATTACTTTATTGCTCTCTCAAATCTGATCTGATGATCTTATACAAGTTTTTTTATGGGGCAATGGGGCATGGGAAACAGCAAACGGACAGGAGGCTAACTATTACTTAAGTGATACTGACGCTCATGGACACTCTCAATGCCAGATTCATGAGTGCGTTGCCGGCCCTTTAAGAATTGGTAAGAGGGTACCAATTCTTGAATGACCCTAAGTCGAATTGGTTCGGAAATACTTCAGTGGGCAGCTGGTCTCTCAGCTGTGGAACGGCGGACGACGAGGTGATGGTATTTTGTATTCTGCCTAATCATTAGATTATGAAACTTACCTATCTCTCGTAACAACACCTGTGCGTAATGCGCATGCGCCGTCCGTTGGTACAGCAACCCGACCCCGAGTAGCGCAGCTACTAAGATGCCGTGTTGAATATCCAGTTCCACGCTACTCGGGGGAAGTAGTGCCTCCACGTGGATACTCAGCATTTTCGTTGCTTGCACGTCCATTGTACCTAATTTAAATATATTTATTTATTTTGTATTAGAAGAAACACGAAAACATCAAATACAACATAACATAGAAACAATAATATTTAATAATGATAAATTAACAATAAAAACGTTTTCAATAAAAAAGGCGAGGAGACTGTCGAAAAGAGACTCCAAGACATCGTTCATTATAAATATTTTGATTTGCCGTTTCCAGAAGAAAACAAATATTGTAAAATATATATAGTAAACAGAGGACGTCACTTCTTACTTCTATTATATTGCAAATGCGAGGCTTATAGAAAAAGTGAAACCTCGAGCCTCACCCCTAAACGTAGCGGCGAGCCCCAAAAGCAATCCGATGCTGATCATCTCGTGGCACTTGATGAGGTACTCGTACATGGTCATGTACGGCATATCCTTCAGGTGGCCGTTCAGGCCCAAGGCCAGGAGGAAACCCGCGTGCTCGATCGACATGTCTTGCGTTCCCTGGAACACGTTGTTATTTATCTCATACAATCATAAAAACTATAAACCAACAGAACTCAGCATTTAAAAGAGTGACGAAAAGTTTCTTGCCAGTTCCTCTCGTCCATTCTAGGCCTTAAAAACTGGCAAAAAATCACTTAAAAAGCAATTATTCCATATAAAACACTCACGCGTTGTTTATTATAAATGACCCAATTGGCATCGATGCTGGATCCCGTCATGGGGACCAGCGCTAGGCCCGCAGCCACGCCGTTGTGAAAGGTCGGCCACAGCAAACAGTGCGGAGATGTGTCGTTGGCGCTTAGGTTTACCGTGTTGCAGCGCGGCGGAGGGCCACGACCGGAGACACACAGTTTCGGTAACGTCAAAGAGTCCGTGGGAGGACATGCCAACGTTCGCAGAGTGACCATACCCCTGGAGATAATTATCAACAGATTTGCTTTTGTAAAAATGATAGTTTTTTTTATAGTGATACGGGAGATATGTAACCTAACTTTAGTTAAGTTACATATATATTTTCGTAAATAATTAGAAGAGTAAACCGAATATTCAGCAATCATAGCACTTGAAGCCAAAATGAGCTTTAGTTTTTTTCCCACACAGCAATTTAACATTCCCGTTTCCGATAATGTCCAATAACATAAGTGTCGCTTAGATTTATGAAACCTTAGATATTGGCTTAAGTTTGTTTTAGTTAGCGTCGCAACCCCTCTTTTGATTAACCCCCTAATATTGTGTCAGTTATAAGTTCATATTTTAAACCATCAAAGTCAGTTGTTACCCAGCTTCAAACAAAGTGTTTTATTTGAACATCTCCATACAACAACCGCCACCGAACGTAATTCGGGACAGCCTTGAAAAATCAATATTAGCTTTTTTGTTGAATACACATTATTTTCAGAATGATCCACGTATTCCCTAGTATTCGACGTCTTTGATTAACTCTAAAACTTTTAATTACATTTTAATTGAAAAAAACACTATTTTGACCGGATTGAGGCGTCACATTTTACCGTGCGTGACCACGCCACGTTGCTTTCAAACCTTTATCGGCGTTAAAATACGACATATAGTATGTTTTTGACTTTGAAGTTTGACAACGCGATTACATTTCGGATAAATTTAAAATTATGTTAAATAGTTGTAAATTTATAATAATACATAACTTCAATCCGGTCAAAACCACGTATTCTAGTTTACAAAACTACGTTAAAACGTTTTTTTTATATTATAATAAATGCGCTGTGTTAGCTACTAAGGTTCAATAATTTTATGTTGTCGTAAGTAATACCTACAATCTATAGATATATCATAAAGTAATCAATTTTGTTCTAAAATATTCGCGAATAAATACGCCAAGAATTTTACATAAAAAACCATTAACTTTTGAACAAAGTTGTCCCTAAGGGTGCGTCCACATCTGGCGAATATGCCGCGAATGTGCAGCTCCCGTCCGCCACTTAGCTTAGCTTGGCTGGCGCAGGAGCGGCGCACGAACAAAAATGCACGCGCGCAGCTCGTAAACTGCTCGCGAGCTGCACATTCGCGGAATATTCGCCTGATGTGGACGCACCCTTACAAAACCTATATATTTTCAACATCAAATTCTTCGACTATTGTGAATGTATATGTACAATGTACATATGATCATTAGCAAATACAAATAATTTAATTTGAATATTGAGAGCAAATTTTGGAAAAGAGTTACCCTTTCTTAGCTGGAAAATGGCAGACTCCAGTGTTACTTTGAAATGACTGATGACTAACCTCCCAATGGGCAAGGCCATAGTCCTGGTGCCGATGGCATACAAGTATTTTTCCTGCTCCTCAATGAAATCGTGATCCGACACTTCAGGTCTCTGGGTAAGGTTGATTGTCACCGGTTTCGACGATTGTAAGAGGTTGTATACTTCTGTCATCCTATAATTTCACACTAATTGATCAAATTATCTAAAATACTTTATAGCTATTGTAATAAAAAAAATTGTATGTATTGACTTTCTCAACAGGTTAATTTTTCTGGAGCCAAAGCAACGTTGGCTAGGTGCGTGAATACCCGGAAGTCGTGCGTTCGAACCCGTTGTAGCAAACGAATAGATCATTCTATGAGGCTAATCACCTACTTGCCTATAATTAAAAATCAATGCAACATATAATATACCAATCTCTGACCACAATCAATGTTGTACCGATCTGCTTTTTCTTTTCTTCTATATTCTTTTAAAAACTTCTCCAAAACACGTTTAAAGTATTCAATAATATTTCCTGTATACTTCGATTGGTCTTTTATTACCGAAAGAAATAAATAAATATATACAGAAAGATTTAAAAAATAATGACTGAATACCATGATGCCTCACCTACGATCGTCAGGGTAGAGCATCTTCAGCAGTTCCGTATTCAAATGCTCCATTCCAGTGATGTCTTCATCCGATTTGGAGCTGACGTCATCCAGGTAAGTGTCCTTTTGTGTGAATGCCGTGTCTTTCTCCAGCACTTCCAGGGCTAAGGCTGAAAGGGGCGTCCATAAATTTCGTGAGGTGTTTAAGGGGAGGGCGTCGAGTCAAATCTCATTTAATCTTAGTTGGAGGTTGGAGAGGGGGTCTCAGCAAATATCACGCAATTTTTTTCCTGATAAAAAAAAAACTTAGGGATACGGTTGACCCGGCCATCTCTGCAACTTCCCGCTAACTCCATACCTAAACGCTCAAAATTTCACTTTTTTTTGTTTTAGTCGTAAATAAAAAGCACGAAGCCATTTTTTTTCTTTTTACAATAACAATTCAACGCGTTTACGTAAGAAACCCACATTTTGAAAAAATCTCACGTGAGATTGGGGTATGGGGAGGGGGTTGAATAAAATCTCACGACATCTCACCAGGGGGAGGGAGGTACAGAAAATTTAAAAAACACCTCACGTAATTTATGGACGCCCCCAAAGTTATAAAGGAATGGACCGATTATGACGGTTCAGTTTACGTTGTGGTTATACTTTTTATTAGCTGCGCCAGATATTTTACACTCATAATGGGTATTAACTTTATTTTCATATATTTGAAAACCCATCGTACCTCTACGGAGTTGGAAAGTTAACTAAGGAGGTTGAATAGATTTTTAGTTTTACAACGATATTAACGAATAATTTCTCAAAACTCTCAACAAATTGAGAAGTCAATTCCCCATTGGTTTCCTTTTACAATAAACATATTAAGTATATTTAAAGGAAACAATTTTATACCGGATTGAATTTATGTATTATAAATTTACAATTATTTTACATAATTTTAAATTTAACCGACTTTTCCAATCAATCCGATAAAAAATTGTTTCCTTTAAATGTGTAAAAGTTATGTCTATAAAAGACAATACTATATTAAGTACATATATATATTTTTTTATTATTACAAGATTTTCGTTTACATACATTTACGTTAATTAATCTGTATTATAAAATATATTATAATAAATTCACGAGGATTTAAAGCATTCACTAAGCAATCTTGGCACATTTTGTGTAAAGACTGTCAGACTAGACTCAAAAATATATCTGCCTACCTCATATAAGTTACAATACTTACTTTCCAAGTAATCATCCGTGGAGCTGATCTTTTCCTTTATTCCCGCCTGGATCGCCAGGTCTTCCCTCATGGCCAGGCGGTAGGCGGCGGGAGGCCAGTCGGTCGGAGGCTCCGCTTTGCAGCGGTTGAATATGGTGATCAGGATCAGGGATAACGCCGGAGGCAGCTTGTCTAGTTCTCGGGGGGTGAAACCTGAAAATGTTTTTACACATTATAAATAATTTCGAGCTCAGTGTTCGGTATATCGTCACCCACAAATGTAAGGGCACTTAATTTTTTTAAATGATTAATTTCTTCTAAACTTAAAAAGGGGCTAATATTATTAAGATATATACTTTTAAAGTAAACTCAGCTGAGTTTCATCATCGGACGTCAAGGCAGAATACAAAATACAATCCGTATCACCTCGACGTCCGTCATTCCAGTACTGAGTGATTCTTAAGGCAGTTTTGCCGCGCACCACCGCTTTGTGGAACCAGGGGGCCTACCATGAACTCTTATTGCGAGCCTATTGACAACCTACAACTGAGATGCATCGCTAATTCGTACCATGACATCGAAAAAACGAGACAGTTTATGTTCCCACGTGACCTTAGCGGTTATCAGATTTCGTTCGTTCAATTTGTATGAAAATCCGTACCATGACCGCTCGGCTGAACCGAAATTTGACAGTCGCGCCTTCCAACTATGACAGAATAAGCGATTCTAAAAAAGTTACTTTTTGTTCAACTTTTTTGTATCGAAATGTCCAAATAATAGTTTAGAACCTATAAAATTCAATATTTGTATTAAAACTTGTTAATAAAGTTAAAATAATAAGATTTATCTATTATGGCTAATATAGGAAAAAAAATATAATTTTTATATTTACGATATTTTGAGTTTAGAGTGTGATTACAAATAAATTATTAAAATATAGACGGAGATGAGAAACAAGACGGCAATGCCCTTCCGACTACAGACTTCGTAGATATTGAGTTTATAATTTACTATAGATTATTGACTTTCATTCATTGAAGATTTCAGTGTACCTACAAATAATTGTACATTGTTCAATTAATTATTTATGCATGTCTAACAAAAACATGATCCCCTAATATAATAATATATTTTACAATAAATAAGAATGCCATAGTACTAGCAGATATTTATTATAATTAAATTTTTCCTCACTATGTTCATGAATTGTATTATTCTCCTCTGCTTTTTGTTGTTTAAAAAAACATAGGTATTTTTAAATTTATAATGTGTAAATAATAAGCCATTTAAAAATATTATAATAACAGTATTTATTTAGTTATGATGACTCCGTCAAGATAAAAAAAGGTGTCTTCAGGCAATGTTCAATTGGATATAAACATTTATTCATATAGACTCTCAATTTAGCGATTTTGTCAGGTTAAGCTGTAAAGAAAATTATTATTATTATTATAGCCTCTTTATTTCCATAATGAATAACATATTAAACAAGTATATCATATGATTAATTATTACATAATATGTGCATGCATTAAAAAATACAATATTATTATTTATAATCTTTAAATTATATCCCAATCATAATTAATAATTTCAAAGTTTGAAATGATAAATAAATTAATAAGAATCAAAAACAAAATTCATTTTTATAAATCATTATAAAGTATCATTAAATCGTTATGGACCCCTCTATGGGTAAAGGCCTCCTCCATTTTGCTCCACATCTGTCTGTCTTTTGCTTTGGTGGTCCAGTTTTCACCAGCTTTTCTTTTTATTTCATCAATCCAGTTTTACTTTGGTCTACCTCTTAATCTTTTTGTTGGTTCTCGCCAGGTTACCCTTGGTGTCAATTTTTTCCTTGTCCATGCGAGCAGTAAGGCCCGCCCAATTACATTTTTGTCTAAAGCGTCTATTATTTTTGTTGTTTTCCTTATTTCTGTATTTCTCTTCCGATGTTGTCTTTGTATGTTTTGTAGACTCCTTTCCATCGTTCTCTGGCACACTTGTATTTTGTTTTTGGTGTAGTTCATAAAATCCATGTCTGGAAGCCATATGTAAGACAAGGTATTAAATATGAGTCCATAATTTTTTTCTTAAGTTTTAAAATTCTGATTTAAGGGTTTCTTTATTGCTCCAGGATTTATTCCAGGTTATGTTGACTCGTCTTTTAACCTAATCGTCGTGTCTTTTCTTTGAGAAAGATACTTGTTGACCCAGGTAAACATAGTTTTAAACATATTGTAATGTACTGTTATTAACCTTTATTGGAATAGTTTGGTGGTTCGTCATAATAATAATCTTTCATTTGATAAAAAAAGATTTTGCATTGTAAGTGCATACATCGAAGTTTTGTAGTGGAGATGGAAGGTTGTAATCATTATCCCCCGCGGTGACCAGCCGTATTGGGAGATGAAGAGGGGCTTTCCTGTAAAGAAAGTATAATTATTTATATTATATGAATTAGTTGACGTATAAATTGAGTTTGTACAATTTGAAGGAATTATTTTTTATTATAGTTACTTATGATTTTAGAGTAATAAGTTGATTTGTAATATCTTTTGCAAAGGGTTTTATATCAGTAATTCACTTCGTTATAGGTATTTATTTTTAATAAACAAATTTGTGAACAATACTTACCCCATACCATTATTTTATAAGTTAAACAATTTGTAAATATATTTATAAAACCGAAATTTTGTAAACACCAAAATATTGAAAGCTCCTATCAAAATTTGAAAGAAACGTTTAAAAATAATAAGTGTCAACTGTCATAGCACCAGAGAACTTTCCGTTTAAAATATATCAAAAGAATAGTTTTATATAAAATAAATATATATATTAAGACATAATAGCTTATTGTGATTGATGAATTATTTAAAATAATTTTATATTTTATTTATTTTCATAGAAACATCTGTCGAAGTAAGTTTGATAGTTAAATTTCTAAACGTACTCAGAAACCACAAACAAAATTATCGTTCTTTCATTCGGTCTTGCGATGCTAATACGTTTCAGCTTATAGGCGGTCATGGTACGAAAAAATGCTATTGACTTTAGGTACCTAAACTCCGCTGCATCTCAACTGGATTGTTTTAAGAAAGTTCATGGTAGGCCCCCAGCTGCCCACTAAAGTATTTCCGAACAAATTCGATTTATTTCTTAAATAGCGTACAAATTCTTATAAGGCCGGCCACGCAATTGCGAGTCTTGCCTTCTGGCAATGTGAGTGTCCATGGGCGGCGGTATCACTTAACATCGGGTGAGCCTCCTGCCCCATTGCCTCCTATTACATAAAAAAGTGAGGTTAACCTAGACACGAAGCGGAGAGAGAACACAATTTGAATGAGAAGTGTTTGCGTCTGGAAATAATCAAGAGAGCATAATAGCTTCTAAAATATTAAACAAATACAACTCTATTAAATTAAAAATTAACATCGCAGCACATGCTGCTGGCACACACCCCCTGAACACCGAATTTACCTGGAGGATCTATAACTTCATAAGAAATAAAAATGAAACACTTTTGTTGACTGAAACAGCAGGTGGTACAGCAACCCATAGAATATAGTTCCAGCAAATTAAAGTACATACGTATCTCTTCCGTTTTAGGGAAGAGGTATACGTAAATTCATTTTTTTTATATGCCTTATCTTGCAATCAGTCAGCTAGACTATGAGCGATGACTATGTGTTGAGAGCTGTTAGGCGTTCAGAGAAAATCTCCATCAAGACTGCTTCACTCAGTCAACCGTGTCTATCAAGACTTAGGATTTGTCGCCTTTTAAGCCTATTTATTAGGACCTAAAAACATAAAAAAAAGAAAATGTAATAAATAAAAGTAATTTCACCTCTCTCACACGCGAGCATTACGGCAGCGGCGTGAGGCGAACTGTGCGTCGACGTGGAGCCGGCCCTGGGTGTGCTGGTAGTGAGCCCTGGGGCTTCGGCCCCCGCCACGCACAAGGTGCGAACGCCTGCCCCACGACCGCACCCCGCCGATGACAAGATCTGGGGGTTCATTAAAAGATCTATGAAAAAGAGGCCACAGTCACTGGCTCTCCTGAAACGATTTTGAAAACCTGTTAACAATAGAAAGCCACGTTATTTTTTAGTGTCATGTTATAACTCAAAGGTTAAATATAAATCCTAAAAATTAAATACTTTCTCGTGGTAGTCTACAAAAACATCAGCGGCAGCATGTCAACTTTGATATCATATAAACAAATCATCTGCCGATTCTACCTATCTGTCTGTTTGCGATAAACTCAAAAGGTTTTTACCAATATTTAGAATGATTCAAAAAGGTTGAGTATATGATTTATGAAGGTTTGATGGTCGCTAATGTTAAGATAATTTTGACAGTGTATTAAATAAACTGGATCCAAAATCGCAGGACAAGAAAACAAAGATGGCGCGTAACGGAAAAATGTGACGCGTACGCGTACGTAATTTTTTTTTCCAACGTCGATAAAAAGTTTCACTTCAAAAATAAACAAAAAAACGTGTGTGTACTAAAGCTTAGGTTTCCTAGAAAAGCGGTTCCGTTAACTAACGGCCGTCCAAGTCACGTCCACTCATTGTATTAATTAAATATGGGCACCGCTACACGCGAAAAACGTTGAACTAATGTTTATCACCGCTATGACGGCCGTCATGCAAATGACAGCACCGCTATTTGACGTTACGGTGACACTCAACGTTCTCTAGAAAACCTACTCCTGTTATTTATAGACAACGTATAGGTGACGTCACCCATCGTTACATTACGGCCGTTAGATAACGGCACCGCTTTTCTAGGAAACCTACGCTTTATGTCCACGCGTTAGAAGTTATACTTCTTTGGCGTAATAATTTTCTTCAAGCACTTTAGAGAGACGTTTCCCTCTTTGCATTGCATTTTTCTTGTCCATGTTAATGGTCACTTCCAATCGAAACGATATATAATATTTACTAATCATGATATTTTATAATAAACACTTTGTTTTTATCAAATTGGAACGGGTTTTCTCGTATAGAAATCATTATTTTGGTTAAAATAGACACGACTCTGAAAAACACTACGCCATGACAGACAATGCAACTTGTCGATAAAACAGAGCAAGCCGCCGTTCAAACGTCAGTAAAACAGACATTCAGGGTGTCGGTTTTTTGTGACGGTGTGCGCGCGCGTCGTAAAAATTTACTCTCATAATTTTTCCCTAACGCGCCAAAAGAAGTATAACTTCAACAAGCAAAGATTTTCAATTAGTAGTCTCACCTCAATGATGTCCTTAGAAGTGTCATTAACTTGCGATATATATGGGAAACAACCTTCGTCCACGTCCTTCAACACCGAGTTCAAGTAGGCGAATATATTCGGCGGATCCACGCTGAAGTAATTCGGCTGAACCAACTTCTTGCGGACATCTTGCTGAATTTGAGGCTGACTCTCACCCGCATACGCAAAATGCGTCGGGAAGTCCAACCAATAGTGATCCACGTACTTATCCAGAGATATATCTTTAGCTATTTGATATAGGAATTTTGAGACTACCCTCAAATCGTTCTCTAACAGCGTATTCAGCTTTAAGTCTTCGTACAGAAGGTGGAACGTGTAGAAGAGATGTACGGTGTACGGAAACAGAAGAGCGTTCGAGTTGAACTGAATTGACTTTTCTTCTTCTACTTTCTTCTTGGAATCCACCTCTAAGGCTTTGAGGTTAAGAACATTTGTGAGAGTATTGTTCATGTTTTTATGGAATTGTGAATGGATGACGTAATCCCAGTCATCTTGGGATCCGTCGTTTGAGGTTCTTTGCTTTTTGGGCATTATTTCCGGGTCTTCATCTAAGCTCTTGTGTTTATCAATGTCGTAACCGATCAGCGATAGGATTAAGTTCGAGAACATGTCCCATTCCTGTTCGGGTGTTAAATCTTGTGTGCCTGGGGCGTTCCGAACGCCATACCATTTTATTAAAACCTAAAACAAATATATATTATGTTATTTTTACAATAAAATGATTTTGAATGATAATGATCAGTCTTCTGGGCCTACCCACCACAATTTCACCGGGAGTCGAACTCAGGATCAACCCCGTTAATCGTCATTTGATATTACGTCACGGCTCTGAATTTTTAAACCTGTTCGATTAATTTGCAAATTATTACATTACATATTTGGATGGTAATATGTCAATGTAACCGTCGTAAGACGTATGCCACGCAGACACACACAAATAATGTAGTTTACCTGCATAGTTATATCCTTGGGAAGAGCCGAAGCCAGTGCTGTGCAGGTCCGCTGCAGCAGCGGCGCCTGCGAATGCGGGGGCAAAGCTATTCGGTACAACTGACCGGATTCAAAGCGCACGCTCAGACGGTCGCCCGCTGCGTCACAAACGCCGCGAATACCTAAGCAAATGCACAATTTGTTTAATTTCCTTTGAGTAGGTTTTTAGGGTTTTTTTCTACTGGAAATCTTTACGCAGTCAGTCAAGTCCTTCCTGGAAAATTTGCTCTTGAAACATTGAAATGTTCCTTTTAGTGTACGAGCCAAGGCTTTTTGCTCATTCCGGCTTTCTTAGTTTTATAAGCGTGGCGATTCCCTATATGGCAGTTATCGGAGTTACGCCCCGAGAGTAGAGCCAGACGCAGGCACTCTCTTCGACTGTTACATTGCATTCATGCGTTTCATAGCATTTCATTATTTCGCTTATATTCTATTGTTGTACGCGGGTGGTTAATATAGAGTAAAACTAAAATCCTCTGTTACTGACTACTTACTACTATGACCCAGGAACCGTAAAATTAGGTTTCGCTTGTTCAACAAAAAAGTTGTTCCTATACATAATATAAAACAGCTGTAGACTTCATACCCTACATTCTTTGGTTTAACTGAGTACTTCATTTAAATATAACTTTTTACATATTACGCACATTATTTGTTACAAAAATAAAACTCACCTAAAGTTTCCTTATTATGCTCTAATCTAGAAACAGAAGAATGAGGTACGGGAGACAGCAGATGCAGAGCAGAGTCATCGAAGGTTGTATCACAACGCGTCGGTAAAAGGCTGCTGCGACGAGGAAATGGAGACTGGAAGGTGGACCTCTTGGTGTAAGGGGAGTCTATCAAACGAGCCAGTACACCACCTACGTGGACCTGGAAATGAACATAATTTTGATTCTCTTCACTTGACCCCTATCAAAGATGCCTTCAAACTTATAAAAATTTAAAAACTCTTGAGTGTACTGTTCTAGAATAATATGGTATTATATTAAAATTTGTTAGACAAAGGCCAAATGGATATATCCAGAAAAGAATATAATTAATATCAAAGAATACAACTCCACTAACCTTTCCAACCAAATCATTGCCAGATTGCAACACAATATTCCCAGTTTCATCGACCAATGCTATCATCTTCAGATGGTCCAGCACCACCGCATCCTTAGCTACCACAGATGACATCCACCCAACTATTATATTTGTTTTACTTGTCTGTCCATGAGTGTGAGACCTTTTTAATCTCATAATCTGTAGTTTACTCAGCCCGTCCACTTTCACCATATAACATAAGTACTCGTGGCCTACTAGATCTGTATGTAGAAATGCTTTGAGATCGTTCGGTTGTTCTATAGGATCTCGTCGTAAAGATTGGTTTTCTGTGTAGATGTGCTCGATGCAGACATCTGGATATAGAGGCAGCGAAGGCGGATTCTGAATCATAGTATTGGCCATGGAAGGAGAGCTAGCTTGACCGATCGAAGCGTGAGGTGACATTCCCTGCTGGTGAAATATATTAGCCATAGAACTATTCTGTCTCGATACAGGTGTCGCTTGTTTCTTTGAGTGTAAGGGACTTCCCCAACTCTTCATACTATGTGTAGGACTTCGAAAGTCACACGACTGATTGAATGAGGTGGAATTCATATTTGAACACATAGATAAACATTCATCTCGAATTGCTTTTCGGATCTTCCACAGCGAATGAGTTCCTAGTTTCCAATCATATATGAGTATTATGCTCGGATTTGATGCAACAAAGATAATTTGTAAATCCCCATCATTGTAGTACTGCAAGCCTTGTGAGGGTGACTTCATTAATATGGGTGTCACTTCGTCTAATGGATGACTCAATGAAAAGCATGTGGGCAATGGACACTCTTGGTCATAACCAGATATTGACTCGGCTCTCAATTTTGCACTCAAATGCTGCAGGGATATTTTAGACTTGGAAAAAGTACTGTAATGAGACTCATTGTGCTTAAAGAGGGATATTGGAAAAATAGAATTGTGTAGTAGTGGTGTTGCATCTTTTTCTAAAAGGACTCCATATTTCATTGGCCAAACTTTTTTAACTTGAAATGGAAGACTGGTAACATATTCTCTCCCATCGACTGCAAAAACTCTCAAACATTTGTTATCTATAAGTAGTATTGAAGGCATGGTTTCTGACTGTAGGTGTTCTGTGCTATCCTCAATTTTTATGTTTTTTTTTGAGTCGCCAATTTGTGAGTTGAGAGCATCTATGAGCATTGTATTTTTAATATCTACATGGAAATCAGCAAAGGCTGCATGTTTAATAGGGTTTTCTATTGTGTAGCAAGCTATTGTTTCACGTTGCTCGGGTGCTGTGACTTTTGAACCAGGTGAGGAAATTAAACCTAAAACAATATTAATTTCAACTGAATATAGGACACTTAAGAGAAAAATTGTTTGATGGCTAATAACTAAAGGATTTGTAATGAAAACATAAATAAAACACAGAAAATGGATGAGATAACTATTTAAATGGAACTTCTTCACACACAGTTTAAGGTTATCATTATTATAAAAAAAACTAACAAATAACCAATTCTTGTAGTATTACTATGTCAGTATTATAATTAAAATCTATTTAATGATTTTCAATATCAACAAAAATAAAGATTAAAAATATACCTTTAGACCATATTGCTGTACATCCTTTGACATAAAGCTCTTCTTCATAATAAGAGTCAGTTTTTGGATTCAAGCCTTTATTTTGTTTATTCTGTGCACAATTCAAATTGAACTTTTTACACATGTTGCTGGAGCTATTAGCACTGCCACCCTTAGATGTTCCAGAAAGATCATCTTTTTTTAATCCACTCATAAGTTCTGACTTAATTGATATGTTAAAGTCATGTTTTAGGCGACTTGGTGGACGAAATGACTCATTCTCCAACTTGCTATCCTTTGAAGACTTTGTTTCATCCTCCTCAACTTCTGAAATAATAATTTGAAAACGAAGTAGAAGCTTGCTACATAGCAAGCATTTGGATAACAAAACATTAATAAGGGTCTCAAATGATGTGATCCTGTACCCTAACAATATCACAAAATACCTCTCTGACAATTATTTTAATAATAAATTCATAAAACAAACAAACTATGCATAATTTGTTGCATAGGTGCTGCAAAGTAGGCACACAGATGGTAAATATTAATAAATCACATAATATCAGTGTTTTCTTACAACCACTGGTTTGGTCTTACAAAAATTACAATCATATTTCTTTGATTTTAATTTTTATGAATATACAATTCTCTTACCGGTAGCCTTATAATATACTTTTCTGATAGTCCACCATTCATTGTCTTCATCTTTGGTTTCCAAGATACTGTCATCCTTTATTCCAAAGTTGGTTAGCTTATACAATAGGGAGTTTTCGGAGGCAGATACATTATGCCCATTATTGTATATTTTCCCAGGATGGTTTGCAAGTACTGTACGTCCGTGCGGCACAAACTCCTATTTACCGAAAAAATAACATTTTGTTTTTTTAATTACATTTAAATCTGTATTTACTTTTGACCAAATCAACGTTAGTGCTCGGTTAACCGGCAATTTATAACATGAGATTTTTACATAATTTATTATTTTTTATTTCTAGTCATTTAAAAGTTTTAGATGTGATCGTTTAAAAAAAATATTTACCAACGGTTCAGATGCCGCAATCATAATATCTTCATCCAGATTTGTGGAAAACAAATTGATGCACCTTTTTAAACAGAAACTGTTATTCTTATTCTAGTAATATCGCAGCTCTATTTCTTTTATTGCCTAACGAAAAGCTGTTTCAATTTTCAAACATAATATTTCTCTAATCACAACACAACATGGTATACAAACGACTAAAATTTACAGATGAAATTTTTAAATTCTCGTTGAACTGACAGAGAAATCCTTCACTTCACTTCACTTCACTTTATTTATAATGGCGACATCTGTGTAAATCACAATTCCGCCAATGTCACGTTACTAAGTCTTCAACAGTGAGGAAGATTTGAAATTTGATACATTGAATTTTATCTAAGCAGAGTTACCCAAAACAAAAATGACATCACAATAAATACAACACACACAGAAATCTAATAATTATACAAGAGGTTAACATTTTACTACAAGGTATGAAGGGGAGAATCTTATTTATAACTTTAATTTATTAACAGAAATAAATTTCCCTAATATTTTGACGTCGAGCTGGATGGGAGGGAAAGTAGGGAGTTAAGGTTACATGGACGAGGAAATCTGGAGAAAGATGGTCAAATAACGAGTCATTATTTAAAGAACAGTTAAAAAATATATGGTCTGTCGAGCCCTCGTCCATACCACACTACAGAGAGAACTGTCTTTTATTTTAATTTTGGCTAGATGAACGGGAGTACAAGCGTGCCCTATACGAAGACGGCAGATTATAGACGTGACCTTTTTGTTTAAAAACTTATATTTAAAAAACCACGGCGAAGAAGGGATTGAATACTGAATATTAGCATATGCCTGCCAGTTTTTTCTTTAGAAGATTGCCAATCAATAGTCAGGATTTTAAAAGGTGGGAGTACGCAAGAGCTGATAGGTCGTGGGCCGAGATTTGGGATGCTAGCCCAGATACACCTTTTGCACAAGAGTCAGCAGTTTCATTACCCGCTATACCACAATACTAGGTATCCACAAAAGTACATATGATTCTTTTTACTACACCTAAACAAAGCTTCTCTTATTTTTAATCTATTATGTTTTTTTAGACCTGAATGGATTGGAAAGAATTGCCTGTAAACAGCTCGAAATCGGAAAAAAATTAGTAACTTTATTTAGGTTGTGGGACTCATACAAACTTAGATTGCAAAAGCTTACCTGAAAAAACGGAGGTCAATGGAGGAAGTTTAAAGCTCAATACTGTTTTGAATGAAGGGACCCAACACCCACCGATGCACTCTATTGGGAATCTTGAAGCATCAGTATATCGATAACAACCTCAGTCTTTTGAAATTTTTTCCAGAAACAAGTGGAAGCTTGGGTGGATTTTTTCAATTCCAAAGTTTAAAATTATTTTAGGATCAAAAATGAGGATTCATAACTATTTAAAAACAAGGGATTCCTAGGGAAACTTTCAACAGGATTAGGAAGACGAGAAAGTTTATTAAAACTGTGTAACAGGCATGGAACATTACCTTACTAGATGGATCGTGAATTAGATAAGCGACGTAATTTGGACAAGATGGAATGAGAAGAGTATTGAAGGACTTTGATGAAGAAGCGGTCACTTAAAAATTGTCTACTAATACAGGGGGTCAAACATTCTATTTGGAGAGCATTGATGGGAGAGGATTTCATAGCACCAAGGATGATGCGTAAAGATTTCGATTGAATTTTGGAAATTTTATCAAGGGCTTGCTTGTTGCCAGATCTAAAAGGAAGGTCCATAATCAAAATGACTTCGTACCACAGCTTGTATAAAAGCTTTTGAGTAGGGGTGTGCTCCCCACCTCACACCAGATAATGAACGGAGAACATTAACACCCTTCTCACTTTTTTTAATCACATGGTTAAAATGAGGAACACCGTTATAACTTTGAGTCTAAAATAAGGCCTAAAAATTTTACTGCTTACAACACGATACCAAGGACCCTTTATAGTGAAATGTTACACCGTGGAACCTTTATTTTGTAGTAAACGTGACCGCCGAAATTGGGCCAAAAAGAGAGACCATGATCATTTAACCAATCACCCAAATAATCCAAAGCTGAATTTAGGCGTGATGATGCCTCTTCAATAGAATTTGATGAAAAGTATAAGGCTACATCGTCCGTATTGAAGAATCTGACAGAAGGAATTCACAACAAGCTCCAGGTCATAGGTGTAAATGTTGTACAGAAGAGGACTCAAAACAGAACCTTGAGGTAAGCCCCTCCAAATAGATCTAGGAGAAGCTCCGTATTTGAGATCTTATAATAATATAACTTCGAAACTGCATTGCAAACAAAAGTACCAACTTCTCAGGAATACTCAGCTGAAGCATTTTTGCCTGAGCACCGGAACCAGCACGTGGTCATACCAGTGCGATATCCAAGAAAACACCCACCAGGAACTGTTTCTTTTTAAAAGCAATGCGAATGTCGGTCGTTATTATACCTAGCTTCCATCGTACTTAAGCCTTTCCTGAAACAAACTGGGATTTTGCAAAGATATTGTTATTTTCACAAAACCATTCTAAACGAATTTTAATCAAATGTTCCATGATTTTTAAAAGGGTAGAAGACAAAGCAATAGGTCTGTATGAAGAGAAATCTGATGGATCTTTGCCAGGTTTTAGAAGCGGAATGACGATTTGTCTGTTCAGATTCAGGAATAATTCCAAGATCGAAAAAACAGTTTACTAAATCTAGAAAGTACCTCTTAGTGCCTAATGCAGAATTATGAGGAATGAGTAAGGGATTCCATCTTCTCCAGGGGAAGAGTCAGAGAGACCATTTAATGCTTTGTTAAGTTCTTCCAAGGAGAATTGACAATCTAGACTGTTGAAGAGGGGATGTAAGAACTAAGGAAAATAAAAGGGACTGATGGAGGAGCCAATTGTCGGCAAAGGAGGTAATCAGCTAGACGGATCTAAATGGGACATCATAAGAATTGAGGGAAACGGAATCTTCTGATCTGCCTCCAAACAACAGACGAAGGGGTACCAGGCACATGCTCTCACAGAATTTGCCAACAAGCGTTTCTTATTATTTAGAAGTCTGCGAGCAGCTGCAGGAAGCTTGTTGGTAGACTAAAAAATTTTCCAAGGTCATGCAAAGACTGTATGACCTTTCTGCCGTTTTCTTCGAATATCTCAGTACATTCGGAATCCCACCAAGGAGGAGAAATTTTCCTTGTGAGAAGATTTGAGTGGAATATGTAAACTGGCAGATGAGGTGAGGAGTTGACAAAACATTGTATGAAGAAGGCAGTTTCAGCAGAGACTGCGGACCAGCCAGAGTCAATAGAAGATGAAAAGTCTGACCAATGGCCACAGTTAAATTTTAAAAGGGGAAGGGCGAGTAACGCTCCTTAAATTGGTTGGGAGATCAATTAAAATGGGGAAGTGGTCACTCCCACAAGTGCTCAACCAGATGAAAAGGGAAAAGATCAGGAGAACAAAGTGATAAATCCACTGCGTTAGCGGGATTCTGAGATGAAGACTCCTTCTCTAGGACAACCATTTTCAAGACACTTATGTTTTATCATCGAGTAAATCGAGTAGAAGGGACCAAAAGAATCTGAGGAATGACAACCCCAAGAAACATGGTGGGCATTGAAATCACCCAACATGACAACAGGAGGAGGAACCGAAAGGATAATAGAACGTATATCAGAAATGAGGTCGATGGGGTGGGGATTAAAAGAAATAAACGAGATATTAAAAGCTCTCATAGCAACACATTGATACCATCACAATGAGGAAGAGATAATGCGTGGAAGGTGAGGATCGGCTACCAAAAGGCACAGCCAGCAAGCCATCATCCCTGTCATCTCGGAGACACCGTACCCAGAAACCTAAAGCGGGAACCGGCAATAACCAAGTCTCCGAAATGGCTAGAATAGATGGAGCAATTTATTGATAAGAAAGGTTAATTCTGATTTTTACTGCGAATACTGTTACAGTTCCATTGAATTACCAGATTCGCCATTTTGGTGACGAATGAGTGGAGCAAATTAATTTTGGGCAACGTGGGACGGTATGGGGATGTCATCATATTTGGATAGCATATTACAAATACTGCCCATAAGCAGTCAAGAAGATTTTCATTTGGGGAGACTTCATTGTTGATAAGGGAAGGGAGCTTACGGCACAACCATTGGGTAAAGAGGAGGGTAAATTGGAAGTAATGGCCTCATGGGCCGCCTTATCAAAGGATTTTCCTGATGTTGGTCTAGAGCGAGGAGGGAGAAATACAGTTTTCCTGTAAGATGTAGTCTGACGGGAAACTGGGAGGTAAAGTAATGGGCTGGGATAAAAGGAGGGGGTTGTTTTTACAGAATCTGCAAAAGTTTTGCCATTGAAGGTCTAAACCGAGCGATGCTTCGAGAAGAAATGCTCTCTTGAGACTAAACTCTTTATATTTCGTCGATTATGTTCAGGGCAAGCTTTGTTGGTCGCAAAGTGTGAGGCAGTACAAAATAAACATAATGACTCTGTTTCAGGGATATTACACTCATCACCAGAATGGGCTAGACTACAACGAAAACACCTAGGCTTCGATCGGCATTGTGACTTTACGTGACCAAACCTACAACAGTTAAGGCACTGAATTGTAGGGAGTTGGTACGTTTCAACGCGGAGGGAACTTGCAAGAGAATATTCTCTCAGGAAGGGTTTGACCTTGAAAAGTTAGAAAACGGTTTGTGTTGGGATCCAATTAATTTGACCATCGGAGTTCGTCTTCGGTTTAGGTCTGGCCTTGAGGACTTACCTGTACCTTCGGGAATTTCAAGGTTTCGACAAATTCCTGCATCGACCAATCAGCTGGGACACCTCTCACAAGGCCCAACGGGAAACATATAGTTAGGAATCGTAACAGAATAGTTGCTGGAAGGTACAATGGGATTAGACACAAAATTATTCGCATCTAAGCCCGACTTAAACTCGACAGATATTCTATTACGTCCCACTCTCTTAACACCATCTCGAACAATGTTGGGTATTTTATTTTTTACCAAGAAGTGACCAAATTTAATTGGGCGGATTGATGTACCAGCGGATGGGTCAGATTCAGGGCAAGAAACATGGACTAAAAAGGGCCCTTGTCATGACAAGGTATGACTTGGGAGAGCCAGTGAGAGATGGATGGGAGTAAAATCCTGGGTTGACGTCATCAACAGATGACCGGACATCGGTCATTGGTTTTTTGGAAGGTTCCACTAAAGATTCATTGACAGTATCAAGTCTGCGCTTGACCCAGGTTGGGGCAACAGTGGGGTGGATAAATCCATTGATTCCACCGGAGAAGAGACCCTATCCGGAGGATCAGGGGGTCTGGAGGGCGTTTCTCCATTATAACTACCAAAATTAACAAGGTAAAGGGAGAAATATAACAATAAATAAAAATAACTTACGTAATTAGTTGATGTTATTAATTAACACACAATAGGATAAGTCAACTTATATTCATTAAACTAGAGAAAAAATAGAAACTACTAATAATGATATCCGAAACACGTGTAAACACTTATACCGCAAACGGAATCCCCACAGAAATCCTATTGTCATTCCTCTAACTTTCATGGAACTCTTTTTTTTCCACAGCTTATAATTTGCAAAATTGCTCTGCCTAAGCTCGATTAACTATAGTCTTGTCAAGTGTCGTCAATACTTACAAGTTAGTAGTTACACGATATATTTTTGTATGGAAAACTAGACATCTTAGTTCTTAAGTTATCTATACAAATATAATATATCCGATATCATTATTTTTCTCTCGAGATTTTAGGTATTGTTTTTCTCTGCTATTATAAATTATTAGCGATTGGGCGTTTTACATTATTTGTTACTATCTCTAAAGTTTAAACTTTATTGAATGATATTGACTTGGATGTATCTAACACTGTATATATTAAGTGAAAAAATATTATGTAGTTATATTTCTAATATGTATTCTATTAATTATAATGTTCAAAAAGTTCCTTACAGATGTCTTAAATAAAACATGTGTTTTAATAATATGAATAAACTTTATTACTACAATAATAAAAGTAATTAATCAACTTTTCTTGCTAGTAACAAAACATTCAACAAAATACTTTGGGAGCTGACTTATTATGCCCTAAATTAAGACCAGTGTTTCTCAAAAAACGACATTCACTATATCTCTTTCTTACACATATATGAGTAACACGCAAATTTGTGCTGAACTAACTGTATGGACAAGTAATTAACAAACATATTCACAGCATGAAATAATTTGCGGTCTTAAAATTAATATTATTCATATGACTAACAGTAACAATCACCAATTCCTAATTAGGTAAATATAAGTTTTGAAAAGGTGATAAGCAATTGTGGAAGATGATGCATCCAGCAAAGCTTAAGGATTAAGGTTTCTTTTTAGTTTTGGTTAAAAATTTCATATGACACATCATTCACCTCAATTGCTACAAAATATACTCTCACTAAAACTCTTATTAACTTAACGCAGATCTGGCAGCACCATTTTCATATAAAATTTAAAAATATATATTTATAAGCTCACCACAATATAGAAAATGTATAAAATGTAAAGGATGTTAACGATAAATACTCTATGCTTTACTTTACCTTCAACATGGCCCCATATATCTTAACATCTAACTGTTATTCAAAATAAGGCTGTTTCTTTAAGACAAAACAAGTGTTTTAAAGTTCAAATCATTGGAAATATAGATATGCAACAAAGTTATATTGATTGAGACATTGTTACCCGAGTGTTTGAAATACATTAAGGAACCACCAAAAGCTCATAAATTTACAATCATTACCTTCCATAAACCAAGTCATGAAGGAAAATGTCACTTTGGAATGCCGATATCCCACTGCACCTGAATATGATATTATATACCACTTTAATATATACATGATCCTAAGTTATTACCTATCTTCTATACTATAAATACATTTGGTCTTTGGATGAGCATGTCACATTATGGCTTGTGTCATCTTTTGTAAGATTTAAATAATATAAGTGCACTTTAGAATTTAGTACTCAATATTATTCTTTAGAATACTATTCTAGACTAGACCTGCAACGAAAGCTACGCACCATTAAACTTCTGATTAAAATAACATCACAGAAGTCGATAAATAAATCCATTAAAACAATTTAAAAAAACCAACATTTGAGAAACACTGTTCCGCAAAAACGTAGCTTATAAAAGTAAAAGTCGACGACCAATGCCAAAGTCGATAAAGTTTTTTTTAATCAGGTACCAAATTGGGACATTGCAAAGTATTTAAGACCCAAGTACACCGATGTGTTTACGCCCCGTTTTGTTATCAGTTATTAATAATGATGAAAACGGGCCATCGAAAGTCGGCGGACTTCATACTTTAACAGGTCTCAAAAATAGATAAAGAAACGAACAACTTTTTTTAAATTAAAACTAAATAAAAAAATTATCACAAGTTATACGTGACGAGTTTAACTCGTTAATGTGATAGGTGCTGGTAATATCAACTGATATACGGTTAAAATTAACAGTTAAAGACAATTATTTTCCGCTTCATACTACCTAACATTGGTGATGATTTGATATAAAGGTGTACATTTAATTGCACTTTAGCATTAATATAAAAAATGCAACGCAGTCATACAATTGTCTCGATTAAATTTCAAGACATGGCTGATTCCACCGATCATAGAAGCTCCCCAAAATTTATTTATTTGATTAGCGAAATCAACTCTAAGGCAGACGTACACACTAACTATACATAATATATTTGAGGTTCAAAATTCATGATGACTTATTTTTGGCATTTTAAAATTATTGTGATGAATGGCCGGAATACAGTATGCTCTTAATTGGCGATACAACATTCTGTACACAGCATGCTTTCTTAATATTATGTATAATATAAATAAAATACATTATGCCTTGTATTATTACTGACATCTATCACCCTTATTCTTTCTAAAAGCAGATTATCGCTACTTCTAAGTATACATATAGTTCTTCTATATAAATAAATTCTATTTCTAATATATAAAACCTACCAAAGTGTACAATTATCTTTTATGCGTAATGTAAAAGTAGATCTATATAAATATTTTCTGATTTAAAGTAAATAATTTTTGGAATCTTGTTAAGGCTAGTCCGGCATTTCATACCGTGGAAGGGTCACTCACTTTGGCAAGTGTATTTGACTCCTCAATTTTTGACGTATTAGCCGCGACCTCCGCGAGTGTTGCCAGCGCGAATAAGTCCACGTCATGCTGCGTGTGATTGCAAATATCCATGTTATGAACGACGCTGCTGGGCGCCTCGGTGGCTATTTTAATCTCTGGACTTATTTTGTTCCCTCCGTTCATAGAATTGGAAACTAAACTGTTTATTTCGAGTCGTGTGATACTAATTTTTCTTGGTTTTCTTTTCTGACTACCGATTACTTGTTCCCGCCAATGTTCCGCCATATCACGCCGCTCATCAATTAGAGGGCGAGGGACTGAGTTGATAATTTGAGACGATTCCAGCGCTTTTGGTTTTAGATTGATCGTTTTCTTCTTGCGCTTGTTTTCGCGTTTTTTCTGTTGAAACTTCTCCAAGCTAAGTGAGGGCAGAGCCTTGATTTTCGCATCTAAGTCAAAGTCAGCCGCTTTGAATGTTTTGTTTGTATTATTGTCTGATTCTGACGCTTGGATCGCGTCAGTTCTTTCGCTTTCAGTCGATGTGTCGATTGAGTTTGATTTCGTAGGGTCCGTGAATTCATCTTGATAGTTAGCCAGATCCCAGCTACACGTAGCGTTATAGCCTTCGTCCATTCTATCGCATTCTCTCCTCTGCCGCTTAACTAAAAGTCCCCCAACTGCCATGAATTCTTGGTAACGCTTGCCCTTGCATGACCGTCCCGACTTCGAATTCTTTTCATCGTCCGACCAGTTTCTGTTATACGCGTCATCTTCTTTCGAATAACGCGTATCAACTATTTGGTCTATCACATCTTGGTTAGTTATCTGGTCGTTAGGTTCGTTTGAGTTGTAATATAGTTCTTTATTTTCGAATTCTTCACTAAATATCTTAGTGGTTTCAGTTAAAGCATTCTGTAGTTCACGTATATTATCTTGTTTCTGTGGTTTTGGTCCGTCTACACCGTGAGATCTGTATTCCGCTAAAGTTGAGATCGAGTTGAACTTAAAAGAGGGAGGTGAGTAAAATGGGTTCGGAGTTGAGTTTTCAGTCTTCTGAATGAGGAGGCTGCTGAGGCCCCCCATTTGAGCTTCATCGGCTAGTTTTCCCGGTGTGAACATAGATGTTTCTTTCGGTTCACTTTCTGTGACGTGGGATTTTTTGTTGAAGTCTATTCTCGTGGAGTTGTTGTTTGTCCTTTCATATTCCTCGTGATAGTCCATGGGCGACTCTTGTTTGTCAGAGGAGTCCCGGGGTCGAGCGGACAGAGTACGTAGGGGCGGTGCGGGTAACTTGTACCATTTGAAGTCGGGGTTGGCGCTGAAGAACGCGTCTTTGTACTGGAAAAAAAAAGAAATCATTAATTTGTGAAACTTGTTTTTGATCTTATTCAGAGGAATGTTAATGTGTACCTGTTTAGCAAGACCTGTATAGCAAGCTTTCTCTTCTTTGTCCAAGTTAGCCCACCACTCTCCTAGAATTTTGGTAATGGATCTGAAAATTTTGACAATAGATTTGGATTAAAATACTTATGCTTGTAATACGAAGGTTGTATTCCATCGATAAAATTTCATTTTCCATAAAGCATTTATTTATAAACATGCATCAAACTCCTTTCCCTTTTTTATAAAATATTTAATGCGATGTTTTTAAATTTGATAAAAATTCTCTTCAAATAAGTCTATCAAGGGTTCTATCTGGCTACAAATTCTAGTTAAAGAAATACAATTATTGTTGTAGGTATAAGTAGACACAGAAGGACCTTTTAAAGGCCGCTAAAAAACTAGCATCGGTCTTCACCGTTTCAGGCTTGCTTTCATCCTTACAATCTCGCACAATTAATTTGTCATGTACACACCTGTTTTCCAGGTTCGGATACTTGTCCCTGACGACGCTACGATGGCGTTTACAGAATATAAGGAAGGCGTTCATGGGGCGCCGGGCATGGTGCGCCGGCTCCCCGTCTGTTATCTGCTCTTGCATCTTCACTGTCTGTTGACAATACATTAAAGGATATAAATATTATAAACGGTTGAAAGGTTAAAATTTCCTATGATAGCTGTAGTATTTTTTTTTAAATTCAATATAAATAAAAATTAAGTAAACAACTTCAAATATATACCAGTTACCTTGAAGTTTAAGCATTGCCTACTTTATTCGTGTGTTATATCTTTAAATATCAAGATTACATATAGGAGAATTGCTACATAACGGAATGTGCATCCTAAGAATCAACATGTTTGACAATGCAAGCCAATGACCTCTTATCAGTCCTTATCAATAGATAAAAATATGCACTTGGCAAAGACACTGATACCGTAAACAAAATGATGGAATATTGGGGCTTCCTAATCAATGCAAGGATAACCTACGTTGTTTCGCTTTGTGATCTTTGGACGTAAAAACATGGCATTAGTCTCGGCACCAGATTTTACGTAGTACGGGGAAAATACGCGCATGTACTTTTAATAGGAAAATTACATACTTCTGCGCAAATAATGGCAATGAACAACTTTTTTCCCGTGCAATTAACACGATTCACAAATTTAGGACGATGTATAGAAGAAAAGTAAGTGTATAAAATGTTCACAGACAATATTGGTTAAATGTTTGTTAGCGAAAAACAAGACTCAATCGCCTTAAGGAAACTGTGCAAGAATTTAAAGAACGGCTGTAAGTTTTATACCATATTGACATACTCACCGTGACCTTTTGAACACTCCAAAAAACTATCTGCACTTTAATCAACGGATCATCGAAATTACAGAAGAGGGAAAGTGAAGAAGATCATTTTTGATAAGTTTAGGGAAAACTGAGTTTTGTTCTCAGACCAATGCGCGTTATTAAACTTGCCTTTATCATTAAAGTAACGATTGCAAGCGATAATGTTAGTGAATCAGATAGATTTTGTTTGTTTGTCGGTACTTGCTCAATCATTCATCTTGCATTGCATTGATTTTGTAATTGAATTTCTATTCCGTTCGTCTAACGGAGCGTTCAAGTATTACGTCACGCAATTTTTGGAGATTATTCACCCCCCCCGCCCCCATGTAACGCGCCGTAACGTTTTAACTTTTACAGTACAGTACCCAAGTATAGTAAAACGTTTCGTGACCACCTAGTGACTCTTTATACCTAAATGTTATCATTATGTAAAGTACTGGAAAGTCGAAAATAATATTAACAAAAACGCGTAATTCAATCCCCGCCCCGCATCGTAATGTTTTACAAAAGGAACCCCCCCCCTCAAAATTCGTTACGTAATACTTGAACGCTCCCTAAGTATAGGAATATTTAACTAGGTTTGAGTAAATAATGTATTTTTAAGACACTACAAACCTTTTAAACACACGAAGTGTGTTGTTTGTAACGCAAAAGCTGCTAAACCAGACTCGTTGTATATGTAGCATAAACCCAAACTAGTACTGGGAGGAAGTCAAAAGGCAAGTATATACAATATACAGTTATAAAACACAGTTTTAAAATTGAAAACGTGATTTGCGTGTTGTGTAGGATCCGTGTTTGGGCGCGTGCAGTCCCGTTGCGATGTGCGCGCGAGTTTTCACTTTCGGCGGGCACTGTCCGCAACCTCGACACGATTTGCTTTACGGTCAAGGTTAAAGTAATTTGATTTTTTTTGTAAATAAGATACTTTATAGGTGATAATGGTGTAAAGTAATCACTTGTATATTATCATCATCACTAATAGTATATTTTTTATTCTATTGAACCCATTTCTTCGTCTCTGATACATAATTTTTCTATTCTCCCAATCAACCGTTTTGTGAGGAATTGTAACCAGGGCCTTCCTGTGTGACGTCATGGGAACTTTTGACAAGGCCTGGTTTACGGAAATCAACCAATTATTTATAATATAACAAGTCTTTCAAGTATTTGACATTAGCCTACATATTTTGCCAAGATCTGCTTTATCCACTTTATAATTTAAATTTTTGGCACAGACAGAGCTGCAGTTGCATTTATTTTTTGGGTCACTTTTTGCTTTTGGTCATTTCTCTTAAATATTTAGTAATTTTCCTTATATCTTTGCGAGTAGATTTTATCTAATGAAACTTCGTAGACACTCGAAACTTACGAAAATTGTGATTTTTATAACGTTCGTATCAAGATAGCAAATTATCGAAATTTGAAGACAAAAATTCATACCACGTTTGTCAAGGTCAAGTCACTGAAACGTGCGAAAATTACGAGGTCAAGTAATTCTTTTGTTTTAACGTACAAAACGTTCATCCATAAAGCTAGCAAGCATTTGTCCCAAAACAATTCCTCAGTGCCAAGTGGAGATCTTATTTTCTGCGATATTATTTGACAATTATGGTAAAAATCTTGGCAAGTTACTTGGTAATATATAGCGTAATTTTATCGCATTGGTTAAGCGTCATTGTATCCCAGAACTGAAGTTCGAATCAGCTGTGTACCAATTTATTTGTTCTATGTACACACAACATCTGTGTGTACATTTAGAAAACAACAACGGGGTAATCACCAAACACTTTTATAAACTAAAGATCCACACAATTAAAACCTAAAACTGTAAATAGATTTGTAGCGAATAATGGTTATAACTTACTTTTGAGGAAACATTTTTAGTCTGTGATAGTGGGAGTACTTTAATTAAAACGTTTTATCGCCTCTTCTACTGTTATTTTTGCGTTATCAATCATCATTTAAAAGGAAACATCGACGTTTATCAGTAACACATTGTAGAAGTGTTAGTACCGGTTATAAATTAATACTATTTAAAATTTTAATCAAATATAACTGTAGTTTTTCTACTTAGTTTAGTGGATCAACTTAGGAGTTGAAACTTCAACTGCTTATGTGCATTTTATCTGTCAACAAATATATTTTATGAGTCTTAATAACCAAATAAATAAAACTTCACAAAAGGAGGTTATCAGTTTGATATTGTTGGAAAGATTTGCAATATGATTATCTTTCGAACTTCAAAAAAACATACAAGTTTCAATTCATTATAATAATAATAGAATTTTATTTCAGATACTTTACACACAAACACATTAATATTTCTTTCTCATTTTTTTAGCAATCTATGTGCACTTTTTTGGTAAAGGCCTCCTCCAAATCCTTCCTATCTGCACTGCGCCATGTACCAACTGCTGTTTCTCTTATTTGGTCTATCCACATTCTAAATTGTCTTTCTGTTTTTTATTAATTGTACCTTGGGCACTAGTTTAGTACTTTCTTGCTCCACTTTTCTATTCCTCTCGCCATGTGCCCCGCCCATTTCCAGTTTATTTAATTTATTTTTATTGTAACATCTGCTACCTTAGTTGTTCTTCTTAGTACTGTATTATTTATTTTATATATTCTTTTCTTCCCTATCATACATTGTTTCATCAGTTTTTCAATTAAATCGCTTTAAACATAGGTAACTCAATAAAAATTCTTGTCAGGTATATGAAGTGGGTTCAATGTTTCAAAATTTATGTAAGCATTTTGTTCTATATTTCAGAACAAAAGCTCACATTACAAATTCGGACACTGTAAACAACAATTTAAGGGCACGTCTCAAGATCGCGTGAACCAAAATTAACATTTTGACGAGTCTTCAAGCGAGGCTGACGACAAAATAATTGCCGTCAAGGGAAGACAAGCTGCCGAATCTTGACAGAATACAGCCTATTTAAATTTATTTTATCTCCTTTATTCATAACAAATAAATCAGTCTAATAAGATCACTATAACTTAAGTATTCATTCGTCCCGTTTTACCGTAACGAAAAGACAATTTGACAGAAAGAGACGAAAAAGTACATTCGTTTTATTTATAAGAATGTATACTACAATTGGCATAACCTGAAGAGATCTTATATTCTATTTATAAAGTAATAAAAATAGCCATTGAAGTTCGTAAACACCCAAATTATTTTCGTCATTAGTAAGATTACTTAATTGCCCACGTTACGCCAAAAACATGTTCCAAGAGAAAGTAATTAGTATTGTTGAAAACGATTTAAACAACCAATTTTATTTTTGAACTACTAAGGACGTGCCAGATGTGAAAAAAAACATCTGTACGCAATTAAATCGTAAGAATACCAGAACTTTAGCACCCAAAAATGTATGTGTCTACTAGCCTTTTGACAAAAAAAGATCACTGATCAAAGGGTACACACTGGATTGATATCAGAAAATATTTAGATTTAACAAAAAGCTAACGATTGTACTTTAAATAATTAATTAATGATAATGTTCGCAGTAATGAGTCTCGTTAACACTATCGATTTTCATTGAATTTTTATGTTCACGTCACTATGGTTGATATTTTCATCACATGGTAATAAGATATTTAATAGGTTGTATACTGTTTTATAATTTCACTCAAATGTATCGCTTACAAATGGCGCCATCTTTGAATAAATTTATTTTTCGCCTCATTAAAACTTAAAATAAATATGTACACATTCGAAATAACCCATTCAGACCAGTGCAATTTTTTAAAACAAACAGTTCAACAACAAGAATTTTTTTGTTCTTTTTAGTCTAGGGCATTATTTATTATTAATAGGATTGATCCTATGACGACATTTATATATTTTATGAGTCTTAATAACTAAATAAATTAGCCGACCTCACAAAAGGAGGTTATCAGTTTGATCTGTATGTATGTGATATCGTTGGAAATAATATTTGATTTGTTTTTATTTCAATTAGAGGGACTAGCGTTAGATCAATTTTGTCAAAACCAGTTTCGTAATAAATATAGTTTTTAGTAATTCGAACGTTTCATTTTTAGATCTCAAATTAGCTAAATAAAATATATGATAAAGAGCGTACCAATTCTTAAAAGGCCGGTAACGCACTTGCGAGCCTTCTGCCCGTTTGCCTCCTATTACATACAGAAATATTTATAAAAAATTATCAATGGATAAACATCAGCACGGCGCGAACAAAATCACCATCCGAAGGGGGCATGCGCCCCGAACGGGCCAACGCGAA